AATTGAGACAGTCGATTTTCACAAGCCTCTCTTGAAACGAATTTTTCACCAGCAAAATTGTTCGCCATGGACAGGAACAGATGGTAATCACTTGGTGCCAGATCCGGACTATAAGGTGGATGCATAAGAACCTCCCAACCAAGCTCCCGGAGCTTCTGGCGAGTCACTATCGATGTGTGTAGCCTGGCGTTGTCCTGATGGAACACAATTCCTCTCCTATTGGCCAAAGCTGGCCGCTTCTGGGCGATTGCTTCCTTCAGACGGTCCAATTGTTGACAGTACAGTTCCGAATTAAGGGTCTTGCTGTAGGGGAGCAGCTCATAGTAGATAATTCCCTGCCAATCCCACCAAACACACAGCAAAACCTTCCTGGCCGTCAATCCTGGCTTGGCCATCGTTTCCGCCGGCTCACCGCGATTCGACCACGACCGTTTTCGCTTGACGTTGTAGTAAGTGATCCACTTTTCATCACCAGTGACCAACCGCTTCAGAAATGGGTCGATTTTGTTGCGATTCAGCAGCGATTCGCAGATGGAAATTCGGTCCATGAGGTTTTTTTTCGTTAACTCGTGTGGCACCCATACATCGAGCTTCTTTTTGTATCCAGCCTTATTCAAATGGTTCCAAACGGTTTTTGTGCAATCTTTAGCTCTTGGGCAATCGAAACAGTGCTTACATGACGGTCGGACTCGACAATGTCCATGATTTTATCGATATTTTCGACAATTGGCTTTCCAGTGCGTGGTGCATCTTTGACATCGAAATTACCAGAACGGAATCGACGAAACCAAAATTGCGCGTGATTGGCTGTTATAGTATCTGGACCATAAACACTATTTATATTTTCAGCCGCCTGGCTTGCGTTTTCGCCTTTATCGAAGAAAAACTATAAAATATAGCGTATTTTCTCTTTGCTAGTGTCCATCTTTGACGCGCGCTCAAACAAAACGGAGTCAACTAATCACAAAACTGTCAGAAAGGTTTTTTTAGTACGAAATCTTATCTTTCTAACGCCATCTAGTGGAACCCGATCGGACTTATACAACGCAAGATACAGATAACTAAAGCCATCTATTGGAAAAATAATGGATTTCTTTTTACTACACCTGATATTTAGTAAATTTAGACCATGAATCTTGCTCCAAAATGCACGTAACTAGAACCTTCTTATATATCGCTGGCAACTTCGACCTGCTTCCCAACACCACCAACTGCAGGACGTTAACATTTTTTGGAACTACCACAGCGGATAGCCACTACCAAGGCTCACAATTCTTTGATCCTTACGGGACTTGGAAAAATATGATTGTCGAAGTATCGCTCTATCTAAATATCGATTTTATGGTAATAATCCGTGAAATGAACTTATATTTCACGAATAAGAATAAGAAATAAAGTAATTTTTAATGAAAATATGTATGCCAATATTTATATTGGCAATAATAAGCTTTCTTGGTTTTTATTCATACAATACATCGAAAATGTTTGATATTTTGAGGTCTGAAAATCCAATAATCACAAATCTTAATCCTTTGCACTCGGATTCCCTTTCAAGGGATATAAAGATTTTATTAATGATTATACAAGATAAACTTATGTGAGCGTAAATTTTTCAAAAACACATATTTTTATGCGGTGATATACCACATGATATGGTGCTATTTGAGAAGATAAACAAACAAGTTTTAGACTGTAGCTCAAGAAAAAAAGAGATTCTCAAAGCTGAAAGCAGATCGTCTTGAAGTATCGTACAGCACAGATTGTTATCTGCACTAAGTCAGAAAAGTAGAATTGAAAAAGTAATATTCTTTTAATAAATTTCATTTTGTGATTTCGTAATTTACAGTTAGAAATTTCCGACCCATTTATTTAGTTTACAGAACAATGGTAAAACGAACCTACAATGCATATTGGTCACTATTTCACACGTTACCACACGTTAGAAGATATAAAATTTTGACTTTTTTGTTATAAATATGTTCCTCAACGTCTAAAGATTCATATAAACCAAATATCATTACAATAAATTACTTGGTTTCAAAACTACACTACACTAATTAAACTACACTACACTAACTAAACTACACACATTTAACATAACATGATTGCTATTTGCACGTTTTCCTAAAAGAGTGCCGCTGAGTTGTTGGTAGATAACCCGCGAGATGGCTCTGACAAGGAGACCCTCAGACCTGTTAATAAAGGATTTTGATGGCTCTCGAATATATTGTAGAGGGACCTCCCCTGTGGATGAGGGTCAAAGGGTTTTCCTCAATGGGCCTTAGTTTCAGAGAAAAAAATTTTGAAGTTCCACGCGCCCTAGAGTACTCGGTACGTAGCAGCAACTTTCGAGTCAGCGGACGTGGCGTAGCGATTGTGGTTGCGGCTAGTACGCTGTAGGACCTAAGTTCAGTTCTGATCAATTTTTTTTTATCAATTAACAAGAAATGTTCACAGCATATATCGTGATATTCGTAATAAGTAAGAACTGTGTTATGATTATGTAGTATTTAATATGTAGGTCAATTCTAGGGTAGAAAACTGAAATGCGAAGAATTGGTGGAGACAAATGGTATTTTATTATTGTATGCAAATATAGTTATAGTAATATTAAATAATTCTTACATCACAGATTCCTCTGTATGAAATGAACAATTTTCAGGATGATATTTATCATAGAAACAGGAAAAACATAAATTCACAGAGCACCTTGCACATCGTATAAAAGCATTTTCCTTACAGGCACATGGTTATTTTAAAAGCGAGATGGAAGAAGAAGAAATTTCGTCTGGAGGTGTATCCGTTAATAAATTGTTATTCTGCATCAAGGTCTCACAATATTTAAACGCGTTTGTCACTTCTCCCTTGAATTTGTCGTCTAATTCCATTGTATCAAAATTATCCAGTACACAATACCGCTTCGATCGTTCTCTCTCGGGAGCCCTGAACAAGTAAAAGTGAACAAGGCTGCTGCTTCTTACTAACGAAGGAGCCGACGTCCCCACTCTTTTTTAAATCAGGTACCACGGTCTTTTGACAAAGGTTTCTTTGTTAGGCTTCGGGTCGAATGCGAACGAGAAACCAACGGCCAAATTCAAACACGTTGAATCCTCTGCTATACTGTCTCCATCAAAATATTGGAGTGTAGAGCAAAGCAATGCTTAACACATTGGATACAAAACAAATAATATTTAAAATCGACTGCGATACTATAAAACGGGATTTATAAGTGAAGTATGAATAATATCACTGTTCTTATTTATTACGAATATGTTCTTATTTATCACAATGTATGCAGAGAGAAATATATTTTCGAATGTTAATGATTTGTTTTCCGGTCTCGCTTTTAAAACAACCATGTGCTTGTAAGGAAAATGCTTTTATACGATGTGCATGGTGCTCTGTGAATTTATGTTTTTCCTGTTTCTATGATAAGTATCACCCTGAAAATTGTTCATTTCATACAGAGGAATCTGTGATGTAAGAATTATTTAATATTACTATAACTATATTTGCATACAATAATAAAATACCATTTGTCTCCACCAATTCTTCGCATTTCAGTTTTCTACCCTAGAATTGACCTACATATTAAATACTACATAATCATAACACAGTTCTTACTTATTACGAATATCACGATATATGCTGTGAACATTCCTTGCTAATTGATAAAAAAGAAGTGATCAGAACCGAACTTGGGTCCTACAACGTACTAGCCGCAACCGCAGTCGCTGCGCCACGTTCACTGACTCGTAAGTTGTTGCTACGTACCGAGTATTCTATGGCGTGTGGAACTTCAAAATTTTTTCTCCGAAACTAAGGCCCATTGAGGAAAACCCTTTGACCCTCATTCACAGGGGAGGTCCCTCTACAATATATTCAAGAGCCATCAAAATCCTTTATTAACTGGTCTGAGGGTCTCTTTGTGAGTGCAAAAGGTTAATATGCAATGTGATTGGATTGTAAACATTTTTAAACTGTACTGATTATTAATTTATTGTGTATTGATTATTTGAAGGAAAGAATGGGAATGGCATATCTGCCAGTTGACATATGTTAAATGCAAAAAGACATATCTTGCCATTTTTTCTGATATGCATCTGACAACATCGATACAAGGCTTATCTGTGACGCACAAATTATAAATATAATAATTATGTTGTAAGAATTCATATCCTGTTGGACTGGTATAATTAACGAGAATCAATGATAGCAACATTGAGATTTCTTTATTAGAAACGAGAAAGTCTTGACAGTAATTTCCAAATGCACATAAAATGTCGTTAATAATATAGAATAATGAGCGGTTTTCTCATATACCAAAAATGAAGACACTTTTTACTTAAGTACCATTAAATTAGGAAAACTATTACAATTAAAAAGGAGAAAAGCCAGGCTTAAAATTAGCTGATTAAAATTAGCTGAATTTTTGAACGTTCCACAATTTTGTATTAATATTTCCTAACTTGTAGATGTAACACAACTGAAAGAATTATCGACAGAGCACTGACTTATTTCTGCGAACTTTACGCCATATTGTTCGTACAGTATCAAGAATGCTTTTGCACAATAAAAGTACGTACAAAAATGACTTGAAAAATTGTTCAGAACGAAACGATAAATACTATCTTAATAAATAAACAAAACTATATTAAGCCACTTATTCTATTCAAATGAATTATTAAATTTAGTAAATAACTAAAGGAATAAAATAAATAAACTTTAATAACGTGTTCTTTCCTTATTACATTTTTAATTTCATTAATTAGCAGATTTGCCGTAATTTTTATTTATAAAGCGATAGAAATCGAACACGTTAACGGTTAATGCATACGTTGCGCATGTTTTAACTCGGAAAACTATTTGGGAGCAATAATATTTTCTTCGGGTGACTATCTTCTTAGGATATAGAATTCGTTCAGTATGATTCTTTAATTTAAACATATTCTTTTAATTAGTTTAATATAATCCAATAAAGGAAAGATGTATGAAATTAGTAATTTTAAATTAGCTCAATATAATTCAATAAAGAAACAATATACATAAAGTTGAAAACTCATTGAAAACTCTCGATAAAAAATATGAAGAGCACATTTTGTATAACATCCTGAAGAGAATTTGCGATATGTTTTTAATCTATTTTGTCGAAGAGATCCAAAGTGTCCGCACTGCACATGAATATTTTCAACGTTTGCTCCTTACCGGTATTTCCACTCTGCAGCCCTTCAATTAGAATATTCGGTAATATCGATAATTATTATTCAATACGCCAATAGAATCGATTACCTTCGTCGTAGCACTTATTGAATTTTGTTGTTGCCTGTTGCAATCTATTTGTGTCGGAGATACCCTCTTCATATGCTTTCAACACTTTTTGTTGGATAATTTCGCCTTTGGAATCAAGCACCTGGAATACATTGGATTATTTGTATGTCTAATTATTTTGTATGCCTGACTGTATTATGTAAAATAACATCTTTTCTTATATATGTGAATGAACCATATTACATACTTTTTATTAAGAAAATGATTATTGTCTACCTTCTTAATATGATATTCGTTTAATATCGATAAATAATTCAACAATGATAAACAAATAATGTAAAAACAATAAACAATAAAAATAGATTATGCTTTTAAAGTCAATTTCACATAATATTACTCGCCTCTTTACATAATTATAAGCTTTTCAATAATATTCAATAATATTGTCATAGGACGATTACATAGAATGCAAGACGTAAAAAAAGGTGAAACAGATAATCCTTATAAGTTGAAAAGATTCCATAATCACTAATTGACTAAGTAATCTTAATATGTTGCGTAACTATTAGAATATTCCAAATATATGCATTATTATATTACACGCATTATTATAATACACGCATTATTATAATACGCATTATTAATTTAATTAGTTTAAGAGATAAGAAGATGTTATATTGAAAAAAGCACTAAGACAGCCTCATGTCAATTTCCAGAAAAAAATGTGTATAGAATTATGAAATCTTATTAACCAAATGAGTGTTAAGCTTATTTTGCAGATTAATATGTATTTAATACAAATATACCTGACCATCACTTTTCGCTGCGCAGTAAACATTTTCGGCGATATGTTCAGCTGTAATGATAGTAGAGATTTAGCAGAGATGATATATTATATATATAATAGAATAATATAGAATAAAGTTGTATCTTTGATATACAAAAAAGACATTGTGATCTCATGCCAGTTTCCCGTAACTGTTCTATTACTAAGTTCCATTATTAAATCATCGTTACAACAAAGGTTTATCTTGTTTTTATTTTATATTTCTTTGGATATTTTAAATTCAGATACTTACATATCGGCCCGCCAAATTCTTCGTTGCATTTTGCAAGGTTTTGTCGAAATTTTCGCAAACGTTCAATGTTGAAACCATTCGTCTAACAGGATTAATGACACCAAAACAAATAAAAATAAAGAATATGTACTAAAGTTTAATCTTAAAAAGAAATGTAACACAACTGAAAGCATTATCGACAGAGCATTGACTTATTTCTGCGAATTTTACGCCATATTGTTCGTACAGTATCAAGAATGCTTTTGCACAATAAAAGTACATACAAAAATGACTTGAAAAATTGTTTAAAACGAAACGATAAATACTTTCATAATAGATATTTCGAATTGTCAGTTAATGTATATATTTGCCTGATACCAAAGTCCTATTGCATACCGAACGTCTCATCTTGTTATACAGGGTGTCCCATTTAACCTGACAAATCGTAATATCTGGAAAACTACATGTCGGATCAAAAAAAGTGGGTAATGAAATTTGTTCATCTCGAAGGGGGACATCCAATGATATCAAACTCGACCTCCTACCCCATTCCCGGGGGGTGGGAGTGGGGGGTAACTTTGAAATCTTAAATGGGAACCCCCATTTTTTATTGCAGATTCGGATTCTACGCCACAAAATACATAAGTTTCGTCCGAAACTTTTTTTTGATTCGTGATAGATGGCGCTGTAATCGCAAAAAATTAGATTTTCTGCAATTCTCCAGAAATGATCATTTGATTGAAAAATAAAAAAATACCTGTTCAATATTTTTAAAAATATTTTTAAAAAACATAATAACAGTTATTCCCCTCCATCCCCTCGGTCCATGATGCAAAGTCAGAAGAGAATGATAGTGGCATGGAACACTCTTCAAAAATTGATTAAGCACCTCTCCTGATTAGAAAGGTAAGTATCTAATAATGATCGTCTCTTAAGTTCTATGGGCGCGGACGATGGAGAGATGCCACTAACAAATTAATTATGCAAAACACCCCGATGGTGAGAGACGTGGGGACTCACCTAAAACAAGCACCCCGAAGGGAACAGAAAGCTATTACGTCTTCGTCGTTGTTCCTGGGCAACGCTAAAAGTAATTTCTCGGAAAAATTCAACGCTATCTATCACGAATGAAAAAAATTGTTTCCATAAAAACTTCACGTAAAATCTAATTCTGCAATGAAAAATGTGGGTTCTCATTTGAGATTTGAACGTTACCACCCACCCTACCCCGAGGGGATGGGGGGAATAACTGTTATTATGTTTTTTAAAAATATTTTTAAAAATATTGAATAGGTATTTTTTTATTTTTCAATCCAATGATCATTTTTGGAGAATTGCAGAAAATCTAATTTTTTGCGATCACAGCACCATTTATCACGAATCAAAAAAAAAGTTTCGAACAAAACTTACGTATTTTGTGGCGTAGAATCCGAATCTGCAATAAAAAATGGGGGTTCCCATTTAAGATTTCAAAGTTACCCCCCACTCCCACCCCCCGGGAATGGGGTAGGAGGTCGAGTTTGATATCATTGGATGTCCCCCTTCGAGATGAACAAATTTCATTACCCACTTTTTTTGATCCGACATGTAGTTTTCCAGATATTACGATTTGTCAGGTTAAATGGGACACCCTGTATAAGTTATTTAAATTCTCACTTACACTCACTGTACAAGGAACATCCGCGAAGTGAGTCTTCGATTTCGACGAGACTTGGCATATTTGTAGAATAACCAAAAATAAGGGTCACATATTTTTTTTATCGGCAATAGCTCAGGTTTAAGGGGTGAAACTGCCTCTCAAAATTTCATTCCCATTATGCTATCCCGATAATTATTGCAGATAAAAAAAAAACTTTTTAAATTGGGCAGTACAAAAAATCATATAGTTTTCGTTCAAAAAGTCTTTTCCTATCTGCAATAATTAATTGTCGAGATAACATAAAGGATGAAACTTTAAGGGACAGTTCCACCCCTTAAGCTTGAACCATTGCCGATAAAAAAATATGGGTCTCTTATTATTGGCTACTTTATAAATATGCCAAGTTTCATCGAAATCGAAAACGCACATTTATACAAGGTGTCCAAGATCTTTCGGGAAGGAAAAATTGTGAAGATTAATCAGACCAAACTAAGAAGAAAAATCATGTACCATTTTGCAAAAATCGTAATAGTTGTTAAGTTATTAATAATTGAAAATAACCACATCCAGAGGCTTTTTTAATTGATAACTTGAAAATCTGCGCATTTATTTGCAAAATGGTAAAGGACATTTTATTCAGAATGATCTAATTTATAATTATATGACGGCTATTGTATCTAGTGATAGATATGAGTATGTTGAACTTTAAACCCTGAATCTTGAACTTATCGCTAATATTATACAATACACCTTGTATATAATATTAACAATGCACCTAATGCCATATCTTTTGAGTACTATTGTATGAAATGTAAATTAAACAAGTGGAGTATAAAGTATATACAATAAAATGAGAGTAAAATATTTATTAAAAAAAGAATATGAATAACACCAAAACATCACGAAGTATTTTGTGAGTTTAAAAAGAGATTTATTTATTGTTTTTTACTTACCATAACAGTTAATACAGACACGATAATAATCAAAGACTTCATTTTGGATTTTATGAAAACGCCTGTAAAAAAATACTTGATGCAGCTGTAGAGGCTCCTTGTAGTAGACTGTGTTCAATTAGAGATGTATTCTCGTATTTATAAGCAACCTGCTTTAACATGTAGACTATACAGGGTGTGCAAAAACTTTCAGGACAATAAAATATCTCGAAAAATGTAATTTTTATGGAATTTGACTTTGAATGGTGTTGTTAAGGTAACATCAGAGTCATTTTGAATATTTTCAATGCGACTCTATCTTTTACTTTGTTTATGGAAATCCGCTATATACGTATTTACTCACCATTTTTCTATAAGCATAATATAATAGTGTGATGTCCTCGTTTATTTTATCTTAAGTAAAATTAGTATCGCCGATATCTTATTTACTCGTATATATAAAATAATTTGATAACTTCGAAACTAACTAAAAGCGAATAAAATGTAGTGCTTTGATAAAGGATCTCAAATAGAGCTAGATATGTGATAAAATATATAAATCTTATATAAAAAACTCCTATATAAAAATCCTATATAAAAAATCCTACATAAAATCCTACATAATAAAATCCTATATAAAATTCTATATAAAAAAAATTCAAAGTGATCTTGTTCTATTTTTAGTGACATTAAAATCATAAAATTTAGTGACTTAAAATCATAAACTGATAAAATCAGTAAATAAACCTTTTTAAAATCTATAGCTTTTATCTAAAACATTTTTTTTGTAAAACTTACATTTTCTGAAATATTACGATGTTCAGGAACTATTTGCACATCTTGTATATATTGGTATCGTATGTTTGTCACTGATTTATTCTTGATACCTGACTTGCATTTTTATATAAAGATCGCTGATGTTGCAAAAACAAGGATAAAACAATTTGTGGCATACCTTATGCAAAATGAAACATTAATACCAGCTAGCGTATTCTATTGCGAAATGATGAGGTATAATATTTCAATGGTTATACTAGGTGTGCAACTAAGTTTCCGAGTTTTTTTGATCAATGAAAAATGAAAAATTTCAAGAGAAATACAAAAAATGGTTTATTTGAAGTATTGTCCCTCGCTAGCTACACATTTTTGTCATCTCTCTGGCAATACATAAATACCGCGACGATAAAACAAAGTCTTTGGACTGAAACCATTCATCCAACCAATTTTGCACTTCTTCGAAATTGGCCAAGTGTTGCCCAGCCAAGCCATACGCCATCGACCGGAGCAAGTGATAATCGGAAAGGGCCAGGTCTGACGAATATGGCGGGTGCGGTAGCAGATCCCATTTCAGCGTTTTGATGGTGTCCTAGATGATGGAAGTGCGATGGCACGGAGCGTTGTTGTGTTGCAATATCACTCGTTCGTGTCTCGTGCCCCATTCTGGCCGTTTTTCGAGCAATGCATGGTTCAAATTGATCAGTTGTTGTCGATAGCGATGCCCATTCACAGCTTCGGCCGGTTTCAGCAGCTCATAGTACACGATTCCTTTCTGGTCCCACCAAACGCAGAGCATTGTCTTTTTTCCGAAACGATTTGGCCGTGCTGTCGATGTTGATGCTTCGCCAGGTGAAAGCTACGGTTTTTTACGTTTGGGATTCTCGAAATATATCCACTTCTCATCGCCAGTAACAATTCGATGCAGGAAACTCGTTCTTTCATGCCGCAAAAACAAAATTTCGGAAGTGGCTCTTCGATTTTCCATCTGTCTCTCAGTCAACTCATGCGGGACCCATTTTCCTTCCTTTTCAATTTTTCCCATGGCATGTAAACGTTTAGAAATACCTTTGCGAGTCATGTTTAATGCCTCCGCAAGTTGATCTTGTGTTTGCGTATCATCTTTATCCAATAACGCTTGCAAATTGGCGTCCTCAATTGTTTTTGCTCTTCCGGAACGCCCCTTGTCCTTAGTGTTGAAATCGCCACTTCTGAAGCGTTTAAACCAATCTTCACAGGTAATTTTCGATGGTGCATATTCGCCGTAGACCTCCTCAAGCAAACAACATGCTTCAGCTGCACTTTTTTTCAAGTTAAAACAGAAAAGCAAAGCTTCCCGCAAATGCTGTTTATTTGGCACAAAATTCGACTTCTTCGTTGTTAGAAAAAATATTTTTGCGTTGCGATATGTGTTACTATTACGACTGGTTATTGTTAACAGATGTCCAAGCTACGAGCTCGTATAAAAAAAACACAACTTCAGACATGTATGTCGACTACATGTGTCGTTAGAGCTATCCATGTGTGAAACCCGGAAACTTAGTTGCGCACCTAGTATTACATATTTATTTTCAACATACCTATCCAGTAATATTCTAACATTCTAATATACTAAAATTGTTATCATGCAATATTAAACAAGTATTATATGTGGTGAACGACCATATTTAAGATATTGTAGAAACAAATTAAGATAAGCTTTTTTAAGAATCGAATTACGTTGCTTCTTTTTTATTTTGTGTATGATATTCTCATTTATTACGAAAATATTCAATGCAATATTATTCATAATAAATATATTGTTGAAACAAATTTTGTATTCTAAAGATCTCTGTCGAACAAAAGTCAATTTAGAAATGTTGCTCTGCAACTTTAAATACCTTTAACATAATGATTTATTTTAATAGCAATACATTCTAATACAGTTCCTCTTCTTTTTACTTCGTTGTTATTCTTTCACAACTGTATTTAGCGTTCGCAATTATTACAATGGTAATAGATCCGTTGTAATTACCATAATAACTGTATTACTAATGTATCAAACTGTTACGTAGGAAATGTAACCTTCAGGTTTTATTCAGTATTTGTTCCACTTTTTCCTCATAGATGGCTTTTTCCTCTTCGGTTATTTCAAGAACATACAATATATTTTTGCGACAAATCAATTCTCATGCGGAAATTTCCTTCGTGAATATGTTTCGTAACGCTTATTGCATTATTTATAATCCACATACAAGAAGACAAAAGTGTTCCACGATTTTCTAATGCATTTCGATTGTGAACTTTAATATTCTCTCAGTGGCAGGTTCAATTTCTGGCTATACTTGATTATGTTCTGGTTAAATTTTTATAAATGTTCAACGTTGAAACTACAAAACAACGTTATAAAAGATTGAGAAAAATCCCATCAAAACTTATTTGCAAATTGTTTTATTTCGCTTTATAATCACATACAATTGCGATATCAGATGCTTATGATTCATGCATTTTGTGTTTACAAGATGTAGCTAACTATTAGATTATTATATTCGCTCCTTACTTTCTGTCATCGTCAATCGAAAAATATATGTGTTAAAATGTAAGCTAAGTATTCACATTGTCGTAAGGTAATAATAATATTAATAATTTCGAAATTTTATCGACGTATAAAGTTTATTCTCTACTTGTTAATTATCATAATGGCTAGCACATCTATAATAATACATCCATAATTATAAAAATCTTCACATGCTTTGCGAAAGACTATTGATAGTAGATAGTAGACTATTTTGCATCGAAGCTATATACTGCAAAACCAAGTTATTTTGACACATACATTAGAGTACATAGTAGTAGAGTGACGCATATGCATTATATGCAAATTAGTGAGCAATTTATCGTTGTATGCATAGTTTACATGACTTGGTTGTGAAACATTGATTTTGCAAAAGTGGAGAGAAGTTATTACAAAATGAAGATGCACTTAAAACATCAGACGCGTCACTTATTTTCGGCTTAAGTGTGATATATTACATGTACAGATTAATGTTTTACATTGGACCAATCGTAACTTTACTTTAAATTTAAATATTTCACTGTCATTTTACTTATCTAGTAAAGAGAAAAGTATTTCAGGAATTTTTATCTTGCCTTACAATAAGGAGGAACGTCACATAATTAATTGATAACGATTAAAAACATCATATGCATATAGCAAAGAGAATTGAAAATTTACGTAAGAATTTGATTAATAATAAACTCACATTCGAATAATTTCCTCACAAAATGACGAATAAAGTATGTATTATATGCGGATTATGAATAAATTTTCATTGCAATAATATTTAGACCTTTGTAGTTAGTTATTGAGCAGCACAGAATGTTCAGAGCCAACTCTTTAAGTGCATTTTAAATAATTTTGAAAGGAATACATTTTATTATTACATTACAGGGTGTCCCAGAATAATTGTGCCACAACTTCGTCAGAATGTAGAACAGATTAAGACGAACAAAGTTAAGACGACGTAAAGTCTCGTTTCGAGTATTGTTTTATGATATTCGCAATAATTATCAAGTTATTAATTATAAAAGTCGCGTGAATGAACGCGCATAGAGAAAAGAAACTATTTTCTTGCCTGACTTAATTCTCTTTCAACTATTTTCTAGCGTGACTTAATTGTTCTAGCAACTGTTGCTGTCACACGGCGAGGGGATGAAGAGTATAGCAGCACGTGTGCTTATCTTTCTTTACTGTTACGTTCCGCACAACCTTGCCAAAATTTTCATTGATATGGTCGTTAAATATTTGTTAAATATTAAAATAGATAAAGCTCAATTTGTGCTGTTTCATAAAATAATATTGTAATCACGAATGTTTAGCAGCCTTATTAACGTTAGCTTAAGGAAACATATGTGTAATGGAGCGTTATTCTTGTCCCCGGCGCTTTTACGTTTCAATGACGCAACACACTTATATTCACATCGATATGATCACTATGATTCGATACGTTTCGTGATTACAATTATGAGTTTATTTTATGAGGCAGTAAAAATAGCTTATGTTGAAATCGTAAAAGTGTTGTTATAAAAAAAAATTAAAAGAAAAATCGTAGAAACCGAGGGGTTCTATATTCATTGGACCAAACATTTTTTTCCGCATATCGTGAAAAAAGTATCGGAAATCTGTCATAAGCAGTGTAATATTAACGATAAGAGAAATTCAAAGTTTTTTATCATATAACTAAGAAAAGAAAACTCATTGTTGTCAATTATACATCAACGATATAAAATTGACATAAAATTGATCACTAAATGTAATTACGATAGAAGGCGCGTCGTAATCTATCGTAAAATCGTTAAAAAACATATTTTTCTATCACATAATTACAAAGAACGTATTACACTGCTGCACATACATTATGAACGTAACACATAATGGCTAAGTATTTTACACATCTTCCTAATTCTCTAATAAGATATTTACGAAAATAAAATATAAAGAATTAGTCATGAATTCACGATAAGGTTCCGATAAGCAGAAGTCTGTAATTTAATTTAAGCTCTCGTGGTATGGAAATAATAGTTTTTCCTTACCATGCAATAATTTTATTTCGGAAACATGTGAATTATCTTAAGCGGAATATCAAGTTGTAATTGTTGTTTCGTACAGCTAAAGATATTTGCAAAGGAAACGCTTACAAGTATTAATAACAGCAGAGAGTTTATACTTTGACATGCGTATTTGGATATTCTTGAAAGAATATTTGTCGTAACCATGATAGAAAAAATAAGAAAAGAAACCATAATGGAGACTGACCGCATAATTTTTGCTACCCTTATTGTGAATAGTAAGTTTATAAAAACCTGTCGCAAGTACATGATAGATTCTTTGTGTTTCTTTCTCGTAATTCTACGTTGTTTTTCCGTAATTCAACAATAATTTACAATTTTAATTTTGTTTCTTATCGTATTATATCCTAATTATATAAATTCTGCATTTTTACATTATTTACATTATGTAAACTACATTACATTTGTGCGGGAAATATGTATGATTATGTTAGCGATATCAATTTCATATCAATTTTTTTGACCAAAGTTGATTATTGAAATGTTTATTATTTCAATGTCTACACATATATTTTCTCTTGCATAAATTAAGATATTTCTCTATATTATATCATCGCAAACAAATAACTGTCAAGTTTAACTGTCATATCTTTAAATTTCACATATGATCTATTATTTATCCTTTTTATTTATTTGATGCAAATACTTGGGTATTAACTCTTATATTGTTATTCCATTACACCATATTACATCATATTGTATTGTATTTAGTGTATACAGGTGTATACAGGATGATTCAAAACAACCTTCCATTATTAAAAATACAAAATCCTGATAAAATTCTAAAACAACTTTTCCTCTTGCAAAATTTTGGCAAAAGCTTAGATTTTAAATTATTAACAAAAATAGTAGACCTATTGCGGGTCGGGTACGGGAGGTAGACAGGTGCGGCGCAACTCACCGTCAGACGTGGGCGCTAACGCGGAGTACCCGCAGCAATCAGCTGATCACACTACACATGTTATACACTAGCTACGTTCCAATATTCATTGCCAGCATAAAAATCTGTATTTTGTATCTGTAACGTGGTGCGACGGATGTCTTGCTCGGTTGGGGTACAGCTCGGCGTATCTTCGAGCAGCAGTGGCGATCTGGCCGTGACAGGCTCCGAGTGTCAATAGCATGTCATAATATTCTTCGTTCGTGTATGCTGCCATATCGTCTTGACGTTAACGCTTCCAATAACCGCAGGATTATTGATTAACGCATCGATTGTTTCAACGCATTTATACAATCGTCGCGGGACGTCCATTGGTCCATCCCCCACCACGTACGACCGCCGCTTCGCATTGGTCGTGCAATGAATACGAGTGAATGAGTGAGAAGGAGACAGAAAAACTCGGAGAGACCGAGAATGTGCTTGCATGTGTGTGCGCGTACAATCCTGGCTGTTTTCCAAAATTTTTGCCAGTTATAACAATCACCTAACGTCACAGAAAATACAAATTTTTATGCTGGCAATGAATATTGGAACGTAGCTAGTGTATAACATGTGTAGTGTGATCAGCTGATTGCTGCGGGTACTCCGCGTTAGCGCCCACGTCTGACGGTGAGTTGCGCCGCACCTGTCTACCTCCCGTACCCGACCCGCAATAGGTCTACTACTTTTTTTAATAATTTAAAATCTAAGCTTTTGCCAAAATTTTGCAAGAGGAAAAGTTGTTTTAGAATTTTATCAGGATTTTATACTTTTAATAATGGAAGGTTGTTTTGAATCACCCTATATATAATACATTACATCATATTGTATTTTAGCGGAACCCAAATATCAAACACAACATTTCACAATCATACATTTCACATCTTTTTCTGTTTGACCGTCTTATCATTGTTTTTGCAACACTCACATCATTTTCCAACGACATAAATCAGGTGGTAAGGCACACTTTATTTAGCAAAGTATGTGGTAACGCGTGCGACGCTTCATATTCTCTATAAATCCGCAGCTACAGCTTTGATACTACGCAGTGTACGATAAAAAACAGGTACTACAAATTGTTGTATTATTTTGTATATCTTCCAGAGACTCGAAATGAAGATTTTTGCAGTTATTATGTGTGTGCTGGCTGTCACGGTAAGTACGAAGGAATATTTCAAACAAACGATGATAAATAAGAATAAATGTTAGTTGTAAAATCGAACAGTAAATTAGCAGTGAGCGGGAAGAAGAAACATTGCAATCTATATTATTGTAAATATAGTATTTTACACTTAAATACAAACTATTTCTATTTCAATTTACTATTGAAATATTTCAACCACACGTTGCGATAATATACTCGACCGAAATTACAAATTATGAAAGATACTTGCGACCTTTAGGTCATAATTAGCAATATAATTCTCATGACGCTCATAATTCAAAAATTGATATGAATGGATATGCAAAGCTTTTACTGAATTCTCTTTCAATTTCGATATTAAATCAAAGAAATTCTTTCTTAACCGCTTAGGTCCGCTTAGGTTATTTTAAAAAATACCATTTTATTTATATATCTTATATACCTCTTAAATGGTAATAAAACACTAGAAGTTTATGAATGTGAAACTATCAAATACATATAAACTCTATTTTCCTCTATATAAGACAGCAACAAATTTTCATTCATATTTAAATACCGCGTTGTTTATGTATCTACTCACTATACCGACATTTATGTAATATTCATATACTCTTTCTCTCTGTCTTTCTTTCTCTCTCTCTCTCTCTCTCTCTCTCTCTGTTAGAAAGCAAAAATAACAATTTAATCTATATTGTGTTACTTCTTGTGAATAAAAAAATCGGGTCTAGCTCGAATAAAAATCGATCAATCTCGTGATAACATTTATGTTAAAATAATATGAAACAATTTTCTATATATTTAAATTATGTGTATCAGGTGGTTTATGGCAATTGCTTAATTGCTTATGCTCCAACTTTGATGAGAGACTTCAACGATCATCTCATGAAATGTAATGCGGAAACAGGCTCGTCACCGAGTGAGTATTAAAAGCAATTATGTTAAGAAATACATCTTATAAAACATTGAAATTAACTTCTCATAATTTCATATCAAAATTTAATTAATGTTACCTTATAATAATCGGTGGGATATTGTGTGAAATTTGCAGTTTCTTTCCCTTTTATCAAAAACGTGTTTATTGTACTACTAGGTCAATTCAAAAGTTTTGTTCGATCTGAAAATTTTCTAGTTTACCGCTTTATGATTAAAAAAAAAGAAAAACATGAATAGATAAAAGATAACAGATAACGCGACAGTGTTAATATCATCGATGAGCCAATAACTTCAATACTAATTGTAAAAATTCAATTAAAACATATAACTAAATAAGAAGAGTATAAAAATAACTATATTCAACAAAGAAAGCATTAATCCGAAAAACTAAATGTATATTTCGGCGAACTTGGCAAATTATGAATGATTAGCTACTTCTTTGGGTATTGCATTCATCTATTTTACATCCTTCATTGAAAACATTCTTCATTGAAAACATTGGAAACATAATAACAAATTATCTCGTCTTATTCTCAACAAGAAATGAGAGCTAAAAATTTTGCGAATACGTTAGTGTATCTATAATTTATGCTTTACAGGTAAGCCCCACATTAACTCGTTCAAATGCGCGATGGTCCGATATGCTGCAGTATGTATACTTATGTTTAATATATATATACGTAAAATGCTCTCTCTGAATTTAAAATTGATATACAATATTATACATAAAATTGCATGTGTGTGTATATAAAATTAAGTTGTAAAATACATAAGTTCGGACTTTCTAGTTAAAACGAACATAAGATATTTTGTTATGTTGTAAAGTTGTTATGAATTTAAAATATAATATATACAAAAGATACCAGTGAATCGTAAATTAAAATGACGCATACATTTTTTATCAAATTATAACGACATAAAAATATATTTTCTTTATTTTACTAAAATTTCGAAATGATTCATTGCCCATATAATAAACACATAGAAATAAATTTCAACATTGTTAACAAGAAAATCAATTCTCATTCCATGCCAAAGTCATTTCAATACAAAGAATTCTTTACTTATATCTAAATATTAATTTTCTAACAGATAAAGTTGATATACGTATCTTTCTAATTGTAAAAAATGGACCAATTTCATTATATTAATTTTGTAATATCAATTTTAGTAATTATTACACTTTACACAATGTAATTAAATTATATTATCATCTATTTCAGACGCTTTACAAAAGAAGCGAAAACATAAAGGATTTGATTTTGAAATCATTAATGGACTTTACATCCGACAAGGTTAAATTAGAACGAACGCGCGCAACGTATATAAGATGTCATAATGACGGTAATATTTATTTTATTAATATTTTAGATAATATAATTTCCATAATTGGTTAATTTTCTTTTAATTGCAGTGATGACAAGCGAAATCACCGGTGATAAACAAGCGGCGATAGCTACCAGATGCCATAAACCGATTATGTCTATCCTCGACAAAGCGGAATAAAAGCACGAATTCGATTCTTTCCAAGTCAACTGTATGAAACGGATGAAACGTTCTCAATAGTTTTCCCAAACATTTTTACACATCTCTTTGGTAAATGGTATATATATATTAATGGAATTTAATGAAGAATTTTTGATATGTTAGAAAATATTCAATTAAACATAATTAATCTCAATTAAAAGAAAACAAGTAATAGTTATTCCAACAAGGTAATAAGTGATAACTTTAATTGTCCTAGAAAATATTTACATTAACACTTATCCATAAAAGGTTATCCATAAAAAAGTTTATCGTTATTCATAACTTTAACCCTATTCGTAATTTGAAGGAAATTTTATTCGAACAAAAATTTATCATTGACTAAATTTTGCATGTCTCGTCCGTTATGTGTACAAATTGTCTCAATCGTTGTCCACAAATTGCACTATTCCGTATTAAAAGTCAAATCATAAAAAATCTCGAATAATCTTACTCCATGTTTCATAAAACAGTAATTAAATGTAATAAAATTCAGGCAATGAAACTCTGTCTTTTGTACAAGAAAATAATTACAAGGAAATCCGCGGAAATTTCCCTCTTCAAAAAAATATTTCGATGAGTTTGAAGTAACTAGTAATGAGTTTTTTTTTATTTTTTTTTATACGTATTTTTTTTTATACGTGCCCATAACGTCTGCACATAAGTTATCAGTAGTCGTGCAATAAGTCTCTCGATACCATAACGCATCATGTTCTCTTTGTACTATCTCTATTTATAATAAAAGATAACAACTGATCACGGTACCGAAAAACAAGCCCAAGCACTTTAAAAGTCTGGTTCATACGCCAAGATCAGAAATTGATTCAACGACCGAAGGACAAGATCGACTTTTCAGTCGACCCGTAAGTCGACTTTTCAGGAAATCTTCTCAGTTTTTTGATTCCCAATATTTCGATACATTCTTTCGAGACATTGCGTATCCACCTGTCAGACGCGTTACTCAGAAGAACACTGCGCTAAAGAAAGGACAATAGACAACATCGTAAGAACTGTTAGAGATCGAATGACTCGTCCGTCGACGTCGTTTTTCAGCCTCGCATATCATCCGTTCTCGAAACGAAGGCCCGAATGCCTAACGACCTGTTTCCGCCGCTGCATCCGCTGCACCTGAGCATGAGCTTATGAATAAACCGAGGCGACCTTAACGCACTCGTGAATTATTTAGCGTCGCAGCCGCCTCCGCGGCTGCGGCTGCGGCTCGCGCCGGTGATAAAGCGCGACGCGGTTTTAACGGCCGACCGGTATATTCGCGCGAACGTGCCTCTGCCAACGCGGTTGTGTAACATGTGTACGTACATGAAGTACGCGGTGATCGCGACTCCGTGTACTCACGTGGCTGCGCGTGTATAAATGTGTGCAAACGCGTGGCAGGGGGGAAGAGGGTGGGACTGAGGGAGAGATATCGTATAAGCGACTCACGTCGCCGGTTATAATGGTGGTCGGTAACGGTGGGAAGTTCGCTCGTACATGCAGCGTCGCGTAAAGTTGTAGCTGCTTCGAGCTGGAACAGGGGTTGCAGACGGGGTCAATGTAGACCCTGGCAAATGGCCGGCTTTAAAAGCGACTTCCATGCCGCGAAGTAAGGAGCGCTCTCCTTTCGAAAACGCTCAGCCAAAGACAATTCGCTCGACGGTGTAACTCTTTGTACTGTGATCATTAAAAAAAATTGTGCCTTCTCCTACGAATTAGACTTTAGTGTTAATGAAGACCAAACAGATGGGACGGAGTAATTCAAAAACGAGAGAAGACTAGCTCGCGAGGTTTTCTTGACGATAATTCTTGAGTTACGAGCGTTAGGACGAAAAATGTCTTTTTTTCGCATATTCAACTTTAGGATTAACAAAGACGGAACGGACGGAATGATTCAGAAACGAAGACGGCCCGATTGTGAATGTCCCCCTTGAAAATAACTTTTTGAGTTATGATTATTAGAAAGATATCTCTTATATCAGTGAGATTTTAGAAGTAAGGGAAACTAAATATATTTCCAGAATAATTTGGAGACGAGGATGATTCACTCACGGGATTTCCTCGACGATGGACCATAGGTTATGAACATTAGGCGGAAAAATATTTTCTTTTCTTTGCAAATTAGACTCCAAGCTTGATAAAAAACAAACAGAATCAACGGACTAATTTGAAGCCAAGAAGCGACTGAGTTTTCTGCGACGATGGCTCTAGAATTATGGAACGTTCGCAGAAGAGGAGATTTTCACAAGCTAGACTTCAAAATTGATGAAGTCCTAGCAGACTTGATAGAATAGTTTTTGAATAAAAACTATTCGTCTGCGACGTAAATTCTTGCCCGACATTTTTTCCACATCAATTTCCTGAAACCTCAACCACGCAGATTGGCATTAATCGTGCCGGTTCGCGATATCGATCGAGTGGCCTCTCGCTTCAAGAATCGTCTGTCATAATTGCCACATTAAATGCATGGCGCGAGGAATGTGAAGAGAAGAAAATCCATGCGTGAGAAAACCGCGAAAAACGACGACGGAGAAACACGGTGACGCATCTTCGCGCTGTGAGGAAAACGCGAGCAGCTTTCAAATCCTCCGTGGTTTCGCATGAACGAAGTTCACGCGTTAGAGCCGTTTTGCATACTGTGCCGATATTTTATTGCCGAACGACCAATTCCGAGGTGCAGAGCAAGGCCGAGTCTCGCTTTCGCAGAAGCCACTTGCCCGTTTAACCGTGACAGAGGACGCGCAAAATCGGACGGTCGCGCGACGGCTGTCTGCGCTTTGTGTGCCTATTGCGGGCAATAACGTGACACACGAGCTGCACGAACTGCCTGACCTTGGACGGTCACCGTAATTGCTATCGTTATTTTTATCACTTATCGTCATCGTAATTTGCCGTTGTTATTTGCATCGCTCATCATCATTCGTTATTATTTTGCAATGCGTTATTATTTCTCCTCTTCGCTACAGAGTTAATCGATGAATCCCGCGTGTACACTTCTGTTTAATGACAATTTATCTGATTTATTGGAAAATCTTATTAAGCGATTCGAGTAACTCGGTTCTTGAGCGACAGTGTGATAATATTGGCGACAGATTTAATTATGATTAAACGATGTCCATGATTATTTTAAGCGGCGCACGTTTCGAGCTCGTGGAACGTCCTTCGTTCGCACTAGCGACTATCGGCTTTAGGCTCAGTTTCACCGGCCATTATTTATCTTAATTAAAGGCTTTATCGCTATCGTATACATTATGGAAGCGATTTGAAAAGTAACAAATCAGTGTAACAGTGATCGTTTAATCAACCAATGATTTTTTAAAACTAACTAAATTTTAAATGTTAAGTTTCTAATTACATTCTCAAAATTTTCTCTCTCTCTCTCTCTCTCTCTCTCTCTCTCTCTGAGTTCCAAATTCTAAAATATAAAATAAACTTCAAAATATAAAGTATAATTAAATAAAATGTAAAATATAACACATGAAATATAATTAAATGTAACTTCAAGTAATTCTAAACAATAATAAATAATAATAAATAATAATAAATAATAAACAATAATAAATAATAATAAATAATAGATTTTTATTCTAAATATCAATTTCTTATTTTTATTCTGCAGAAAATCTATCCCGCGTCTCGCGGAACACTACCTTATGTTTCCATTGTCTCTATTCCGCGACAAATTTAGTTACATCCGCATTTATGAACACGTTATCTAAAATCAGCAAACCGTCCGCAAGAATAGCGTTCTCTCGCTGAACATGTTTTAAACACGTTCGTCGAACGTAACACTGTATAACGTGCTCTATACCTTCGCGTACAATTGCAATGCAAATGCCGCACCACCACATCGGCCGATATCCAATTTGCACACTCACACATTCATACGCGAGACAATGCGAAGCAATGACGACGACGGTATGGTGCACACGATATCGGCGACGCCATCGAAACTTATGCAAATCTGATACGCCAACCAATTATGTCCGGTGCGCTTCCGCAAATCCGCAAACGCCGTACAGGAATTGTCGATTGTGATGTGACGTAAGATTACAACGACCGAATGGCCGAGTCCGGGTGTGGGATTCGCACTATAAAAATGCGTCATAGAAAATCTCAGGTTCAGTGTGTGCGCGAATCAGTTTCTGACTTTACGCAAAGTTGCCCTTGCAAAACGCTAATCAGCATGAAGAGAATCGCGTTTCTCGTTTTCGTCTTCGCTGCTTCCGTGAGTTTCTTTACAAAAACAAACACTATACATATATATAAAATAAAAATAACCTAAATAAATATGTTATTAATATACTTTGTCTGCATTTAATTATAATTGTAATATTGATGATAATGACTACTAGATTTAACTTCCAGGTTGGCGTTACGTTCTTTCTTGTGAATTTCTTTCCAACATTTGATAGACATTTTAATTCGTTTTGTCAGGAAAATCGTGATAATATCATGTTGCTCGCTTTAATAAAGTGAATAAAAATGTTCACAAGACGTTAGAATTAAATCCACAAAAAAAGCGAATTCAACCTGGAAAACCATTCCAATATTTCTCTTCACCGTGAAAGCTTCAAACATTATATAATATTAATGTTTATTATTATTTTATAATTAATCATAACATATTTCAATAATGGTAATGTCTTGCTGGATTTGATTTCCGGATTAAAAACATTCTTCTTAGTAAATGTGTTTCCAACGTTTCATGAATATTTCGATTCACTTCATTTGAGGAAAGAGCAACCTGATACTGTCTTTATTGTATCTTATCGTAATATTATCAAGTTTCTCTTCTCTTTCCTGATGAAATGAACTAAAATGTTGGAAACAAGTCCATAAAAAACGCAATTGCACATTGTGAAGGTCTCAAATATCATGATAATAACTTATTATTTTGTACATTAGAATATTAGAAATACTCAAATATTTTAAGTAATCAAATATTTTAGAATAAAACATATTTAAAAGTTTACAGAGAAAGTCTTACTTTTCAATTAATAACATAATAAATTAAACACATCTTATGCAGACAAATAACACAAGAAAAATAATCTGTTACAATATATTGTAAAGATAACATAAAATGTTACTTACATACTACACACATACACATTCTATATACTATACACATACACACACATACAAAATTCAAGTAAAAGGTGATAAAAATGAAATCTGTATAAATCAACTATTTATGAAATCTTTCATAAATAATTGATTATACAGATGTCGCTAATATTAACCCTGAATCAAATGTTCTTTGGGAATTTACGGAATATTTAACAGCCATATTGCAACTACGCTTATTGTAACTTTGTGTTATTTTTTTGTTTCAGGCAATTGCCGAAGATGCAAAGGAATTAAAAGAAATGGCAGAAAATTTCGAGTCTGACGTGCAAACTGTGCAGTTGTGCCTAGACGAAGCGGAAACTACAGAATGTAAGTCGTTTGTGAAAATAACACAAGATTCAATTTCAAAATGCATATAAAAATTGATGTAAAAATATGCGTCCTTGGATATGTCATATAATTAAAGAGATTTTTTACAACAGCGGAAATGAAGGCTATAAAAGAGAAGATCGACAAATTGGACACACTGGATGATAACATTGACGATGAAACTAAGAAATCTTTGGAAAAGACCAATAGATTCATAGCCTGCATGTTGGAGAAGAAAGAAATGGTAATAACAGCGCCTTCGCAATCTTTGCGATTCAACTATTACATAAAATCATATTCAACATTCATAAAAAAAGAAATACAATTACGAGGAAAAAGAAATAAACGAATTACTAAGTTTCTGTAAAGACGCAATCAACAGTAGTTCACGAAAGCCAATTGGCCAGCAAGCAGAATATTGATTGAGAAACGAATAAAATAAGAAATGAAGTTGAAAACATATCTTATACATTAAATTTTTCGGAAGTTTCTCTACTGGTGACCGAAATGACGATCAAAATGTTTATTTAAGAGGTCGATACCCTATTTATTATTTTGTTTAAGTTATCTTTTGTAATCTACAATTATGAAATTATTAACCCGCTAAAGAATGTTAACACATAATATGTTTAGATTATTAGGATTATCTAATAGTATACGTTATTAATTTGCTATGTGTTGATTAGTCAAATAAAGAAAGAAGTAATGATGTGTTAGAGCAGTAATTCATTATTATAATAATTTTGTGTTAACATTCGAAGAAGTTAGATAGCACTACATAAATATCTGACTTGTACAACACGTTAAAATAATTCTTCTGCCGCATTAAGTTAATTTTATTATATGTCCTTTCATATTAATTTAAGATGGTAGACTCGAAATTGAATGTGGATAAAATACTGGAAGCTATAGAGAAGGATAGTAAATACCACGTTAAGCAGGACGAAGTAAAGGAATGCCTGAATACACGTGAGTAAACTCAAAGCCGGACAATTACAATTCTAAAAGTTCTCGCGCCTTTTGATCTTTCATATATTTTTCATAATTTTCTATGAGAATTTAATATTAACGTATTTGCTACTACGCTACCATTTAAGGAACTCACCACAAACAAACTACCCTGTATCTTTCTATATAATTTATTATATTTTATGTATTAGTTTCATGCAATTGTATAAAATATTTTGTATAAAACATTATAAAATATTTTATATAAAACATTTTTATAAAACACTTGTTGTTGGGTAGGAAGAAAATTTAGTGAATATATATCTTATCTTAAAAAAAAATATACACTTTTTTAACTTAATAGTAGACATTTTTTTAATATTTTGTCGATCAACTATTTGCTCTTTGTATATGATTTTCGCATTTTTCTTTCTTGTTTCTTTTTCTTTTACTGAGATTATATTTAGATGATTATATTTAATATCGTACTAAAAGGATTATTCTCGTAAATAAATGAATAAACAAATAAATAAATTTATCCTAGAATTACGAATTATTTTGCAAAAATCAATCTCGAACTATTAATAATTATCTAATATTTTATGAATAATTTTGAAGTACCTCACCATATATGAATTCAAACCGACCACTCATGATTCTGTATTTGACTGTTTCAGTAAACAATGACAAAGAACTGGATCGGGAAATGAGGGCGATGGGGATGATGATATGCTTAATAAAAAACGAGAAAGACGAAGATGAGAAGAAGTAAAGAGAAGTGTCGATACGACGTTGCATCTATCTGGACCGGAAATCGCGTGGGGCAATGGGCATCAAAGTAACAGGCACAAATTTCCATTATCGGGGTTTAAGATGTCGTTCTTTTAGATTCGCAATAAACGTACAAATATCAGACACAGCAATTGAATTAATCGATAACTTGTTTAATATGTGAATGTGTCAATGTGCGCTAAACTATTTGTTATATATATATATATATATATATAACATACACACACACACACACACACATATATATATACACACACATACCATATACCCGCCATATACCCATTAATGTTTAAATCAAAGTCGCAATAAATCGCAGAATTTATCGCCAGATAACGTTTTTATAACTCATTCCAGCAAACAATACATAAAAATGGAACAACATGTTGATGAAGAAGTATCATTCGCACATTACACGAGGTTATTACCAAGAAATCGTTAACTCGGATTTTAAAAGGGAAAACCCCGATGATTAATTTTCTTAAGATGATAACCTATGTATGCTGCGACGTCGACCCTCACGTTCATTTTCTTCCGATAATAAAATGTAATTCGTAGATTCGATTGTTAATAACACATCAATAGACGATAATCGAGATATTTTGGTATTTAAATTTTTATTTTATCTATTTTTATTTACTATTTATATATATATTTATATTTTTTATTTTATCTATTTTTTTACTTATTTTATTTTTATCTATTTTTTATGTATAATATTTCGGCTGTGTTCAAAAGCTAAACCCGAATTCTCAAATTACCTATTAGTCGAGAATAATAAAAGAAAGAAAGAGAAAGAGAGAGAGAATAGGAGGGATTTTAGAAGACTATATCAACAATTGATCCCATGCACAAACATTGCTGATTTTGAGTTGAGATTAAGATCTGCAAACGGAAAGTCTCGAATATTTTAATCGACCTAAGCCCATTGTAATCTATATATGTAGATTGCATAACTTTACCGCTTTATTAAAGTTTATATACGAGTAGGATTATCAGATTTTCTCGTTTATGTATCTTATCTCCTCTTTATATTTCGAATAAAAGCACAGCTAGGTACGTAAAAAACAAAAGTGATAACAGGTCACTAGAAATCGAATAATTTTTTATTTGTGCAAAGCCAATTCTTCCACTCTGAATCATCAAGCGAATATTTTTTTATCTTTAAATTGAAAAGTAAATTTTTACTTTGCAATGAAGAATAAATCTAATGCATTCTATTGTCAATGAAATTACTTTGCTCTAATATTCTCACAATTGCTACGAGTGAATTTTTATTCGTATAAAATTCTACTCCGACAAACTTAAGAGAATATAAATTAAGAGATATTCATTTAACTTTTTCCGAGTAAAATTCCACTCGAAAAATGATAACAAACTCACTCGAAATCAAATGATTTTTTCATTTATCTAGACTCTTTCGTTCTGAATATCTCGACCACGCACATATTTATACACCATAACTATTAAGCATTCCGGGGAAATGACAATATAAAATATAATATGATAATATAAAATGAGAAAAAAGCATTCATTCTTGTGATACCGAGTAGCAGCATTTTCATTGTTTTGAGTAAAGTTTCATTGATCGTCAACGAAACACCGTTTCCTAAAATTTCAAAATACATCCGCGCATTGTAACTATCAATTATTCAACAAAACAGCAAGAATGTATAGAATGTTACTACACATTTTATATTTTATTTTACGTCACAAATATCACGATTTTTTAATAAATGGTTTAAGCAATGTCGCACTTCATTGAACAATTACTGGTCGTGATAAACGAATATGCCGCAACGATATGAATGACTGAGCAAACCTTACTATTAAGTCACTGGATATCAAAGGTTGTTATATCGATCTATTTGCATTCCGAATGAAATTCGAAAACTCGAAACAAGGTGAACTGCTCCTTAGCAGATCACACCGTGAGCCGATAGATCGATGATGTGATCTTCAGTGCAATGACCGGTTTGTCCGGTTTACATAGTGCAAAAATCACTTTGTAGCTAGCGGTATTTTCGACCGAAGGTCATTTGACGCAAATCGCGATCGGCGTGAATCCCCCAGGGACGCGCGGCACTTTCCTTGAACGTGCATTGACCGTGCCCGTATATGATACGATTCTTCCACGTATTGTATTTCCACCAACTAGCTTTCCTCCTCGAGAGTGTTTCCTCGTGAACAGTCGCCATATTAGATGTGCGACCACATGATATAAGTGCCAGTTGGTGATCGCCCTCGTCAGTTTGCGTTGTTGTGCCAAACCTACGTGTTGTACCCTGCTTATCTCTGATAAGAAATATGAAGTTGCTTATACTCTCTGTCTGCCTGCTGGCAACTGTCGTAAGTAGCTATTATGATATTTAGAATATATTATACCGCTTTAGCCTTGTTAAACGCACCCTGAATTCAGTGCACCCAAAAGCTATGCACTTACATAAAACATTAGAGCAAACCTAGCAAACGGTTTGAATCCTAGCTTGATCGAATCAATTGATCGCCATTTTTCTCGTAAAATGTATCGAAACTGTTTGGCCATTTAAGTTCAAATTAACTACATTAAATATAAGAATATATATGTCAAGTTGCAATAAAACTAACACATATACTAGGCTGAAACTCATTATTGATCTTTCTGTCGTCTAATTGTTCTTTCTGATAATTGCCATCATATATTGCTTGGATATAATATAGTTTATCAGTTATATTTTTAATAAGATTACCTATTAAATTAATTAATTTACTCGATTAAGTAAATATAGATAAATTATTTGTGCTAGAATTAGTACATGCTATGATATTCACCATGTATTACGAAATATTAAAATAGTTCAAACAGTTAAAATTTGTCTAAAATTTGTATTAGCATATCAATTACTCTGCAATATTCTAATTTATAACGAGTAATCTATTTTCCAGATGATTTCCCACGCTTACACTATCGGTAACGCAGCTTTACATGGTGCAAAGCTGTCACGTGCGGAAATACAGGCATGTTATAGGAGTGCGAATATGACAGAAGGTACATGAAATCAGTTTTAATCTCGGTGTTTTGTATGACTCTTATCTCTTCCCTATAGCTTTCGCGAAATATCAGCGCGAAATAAACTGATTGAAATAAAAAGAAAAGAAATGTACACCAAGATATCGTGAAATTAAGAATACGATGATAATTGTATCGTTAAATTTATTGTCTTGGATGTTCTGTTGTTTTTTCGATGGAATATAATGACAGATAATAGCTATTATCTTTCTATTATTTTTATTTTCTATCCAGACGAACTTATCACGAAAGACGAAATAAAGGACGGTACGTACAATCAAGACGCCGAAAGGGCGAAGAAGAACGGCTGCTTCTCGGCATGTGTACTGCAAAAGCGTAACTTGGTGAGTATTCACAAAGTGTTATGTTATCACGTTGTTATTTCACCTAATATTCGTTTGTCTGGAAAGTTAATGCAACATTTTTCGGAAATATTTGCAAGTTAAAATTTGAAACATGATAAATCCAAACTTAATTATGCAGGATGCTCCAGAACTTACGAGTTTAATTTTACCGAGAAGTTTTACGGGAACAATTAAGACCAGTTTTTCTTAACGATCATGTCAAAAGTTATTATTAAAAGCAATTTTTCTGTTTTCAACAGAAATTATTTTTGTAGCCAAGCCCTAAATCCTATTGAGCCTAGAATCCTATTGAGATAAAGTTCACCTAAAATAGAACGAAAAAAATTATTTTGTTGTTCACTTAGTCGACCGAAATCTAATGTATGGAAAGTTCCACTTTTGAATTGCTTGTATCCCGGAAACTGTTGCTTACATTTTCGTACAATACAAATTAACTCTAAATTGTTTAGAGAACTTCTTAATAAAATTAAAGGGACAGATTCTGGAATATTGGCTTATTTCTATTAATAAATCGATGGATAATATTAATTACGTTTATAAGTACTGATTAAAGCATTTTTTCATAAGCGACTTTTTGTTTTCTTCAATTAGTTATATAATCATAATTGACAATCTTGTATAATGGCCGTCCGCCTTATATTAAGTTAACCACGAGCTATTATAGTATTAAATATTAGTGTTAAAATGTTAGATTAATATTAACTAGTATTATATAGTATCAAATATCATATATATATATATATATATATATATATATATATATATATATATATATTAAACATATTTTAATCGCAATATCGCCTCTTGAATCCTAACTATTTGGTAGCAGAATATAATTATTATCATGGCTCTTGGAATGGAAATTGTATAGGAAGATGAACATATTTAAAGAACACAGTTCGACAAAGACAAGGAGACGACATTCGAGATTAGAATTCTAATACTCGAGAAATGATAAAAACCGGCATTACCCGTTGTCCCGTTATTAATAGTAGCAATTATTTTAACTGACATGAAGATAAAATCTTGTAACTAAAGAGACTTTTAAGTCCTCTTAGTTCTAGTTAGAATGACCAATCATCGGAAGATGCCAGGAAAAATGAAGAGTGGGACGAGAACAATGCCGACGTTGTGGCATGTATACGTTTATTATTAAGCGACGAACAAACATTACGCTAATGCAGTTCGCTAACGAGACGAATGCAAAGTAGTTAAAGAAGGCGATAAACGATATCTTCGCCAGACGAGCTGCAAATAGCTATTGATATTAAGGAAGAACTGAACAATACTGAAATGTGGGATAATGAAACTATCAGCGCATATATAAGTCACGAAAGAAGAGCTTATCGATAAAATGTTTCAGCAGGATTGATTATAAATTTATTTGCTATTGATGAACTGGCTATATTACCTTAGGGTCTTTTTTCCCTCTTTTTCTTCAATAAATCTGATCTGTATATCTGTCCTGTTTTAAGTTCCATGAAAGTATACACTAGTTCATCAATAAAAAATAAATCTTATATCTGAACGTCAACTTATATGTGTAAAGCCTTTAGAGGGCCAAAATCAGTTTGATAAAATCCGTGAAATATTGAAGACTCAAAAAAAAAGGGGAACTGGATAAAATCTTCGAAGTCATTAAAGAACGGGAGGAAACTGCATAAGACATCTTTTACTTTTAACCGCTTTAAAAAATTCGAATTATACATTTGTATATCTAATAAACAATCATTGACATCATTCCTATAGTAGGAAATAGTATAAGTCTCGAATATAATAATGTAGAAACAAACGACGAGACTAATGACGATGCAACAACAAGAAATTTTAAGAAAATACGGAAAAATTATGGCATCGAAAGCTAAATTACATAAATTTACAGATATACGCAGTTATTCATGTAAACTATTACAATAATGAACATGTTTCAAACGCGCAATATTGTCTCATGAATCTCAACAAATTTAGAGACATTTTGCATATGCACTGTTTGTTCTATAATCTTCCTCCATCAATCTAGAATTTTCAATATCATTATTTATAATATCTTCAATGTAATATTCAATGCCCGTATAATATTCACACACATGTTTTCTTTACATATACTTAAAAATCATAAATAAAATCATACGAGCTTTCCAGACAGCTTAATACTGTATATCTGCAATGACGTATTTCAAATATGAAAGTGCAAATGGGATGTATTTTCTTATCAATTATTTTAGATTGTTGGCACAGAGATCCAGAAAGATAAATTGTATGGCAAAGAAGCTCATGTTAATGTACCTCAGGACGTCCAAGACGCTATATACGCAACTGTAGACCGTTGTGTGAAGGAAGGTAAGTGTAATGAAAAATTAATTATCGCATAGCTGTTTGTGTCTTAACTTTTTACGTATCGTGACATTTTAACCGAAGAAAGAGGGAGTAAGAGAAAATTGAAATTTAGCTCACAAGATATCGCGTACATATACGCGAAAGACAGGTAGAATGTCACGAAGAATAATTCTACGCAAATATGTTTTAGTCAAAACAAATCCGGATCTGTGTGAGAAATCTCTCCAATTGCTAGTATGCCTTTCGAAGGATTTTATTTAATCTGACAGAGATTGCTAACAACTCGATTTCTAGATTTAAAGATAAATCACTAGTTCGCAACTACTAACAAAGTTAGAAAGAAAATAAGAAATGAAGAAATGATACATGATGCTACACGAGAAGGTAACTTAACATTTGCAGGAAATGTGGATTACTTTACGTTAATAAAGTCTCATTTATGTATTGTCTTTCATTATTTGAAATAAAATTGTGAGGACATTTGAGAATTGTTATTTCCTTAATTATTTTCCACTTCAATTATGCCAGAGATTTTTCTTGTTTTTAACGAAAAAATCCTCAATAATTGATATTTTTATAAAATATTTATATAGCGAAATATTCATGAAAGAAAAGCATGCACATGCAAACATGAGCAAAAATCAACGGAATATTAAAAGACTTTCACAATCCACTCAATTTGCACTTATTTTCCGAAAATTACATTGTCTAAATAGAATTACGAAAACGAGAGTCGGTGATTAATAGGAAATGGAACGTTAACACACTTTAATAACATTAATTCCGCTCTTGTGTAACAATCACTTCATGTAAGTGTAAATATGACACGATACGATGACAAGCATCGTCGAATAATTGATGGAATTTAGTTTCGTCGCGTCGACATTCTCGCCGATGTCTCCAATTGTCTCACGCGATAATCTCCAAAATTGTTCGAAACAAAATGGTAAGAACATTTGTAAACATTTTATTTCTCCAATTGTTAAAAATTTCTTCTTTTCCATCACGGAAATCTTGGATAATCAATATTCCTACAAACAAGTAATGAAACATCGATAAAACTCCGTTAATAATTCATTTTATACGTTTCAGAAGAGTTTGTTAAAATGAAACACGAAAGCGCAAAAATATTGATAATTAATAGGAGCTCAAACTTTAACATGTTTTAATTATATTAATTCCGCTTTTGTCCCTAACGATGAAGTTAAACAAATGCAAATATAACAACTAATTTACATCAAATATCAACTGATGAATTTCTCTGTCATATTTGCATTTGTCCCGACATCGCGCGCGATAACCTTTAATATATCTTTATCTACAAATATAATACTCACAACTTATTTTTTATTGCATCGTTGCATATAAATACTGCATACCGCGATATTGATGCCAGTTCATAGCAGGAAGAGTGCAAACTATTAACTATTAACTAGAATCTCTCATCACAAAGAAGAAAATAATTCCCGAATAGCATAAAAACATGAAGCGGACTCTCATGCTTCTCTTCGCGTTCGTCGTTGCTGTAAGTATCTATAGGGTTTTTCAATAAGGGCGGGTCGATGTTGCAATGGAATAAAACAAGATGTGTGTGAGGTATTAACGAAATTCTTTTTTTATTTGAAAGGCCCATGTATGCCATTATGTGTGGAATATAACATCGTTCAAATGTCCGCCACGGCTTCTCACGGTGGCACGGATCCGAGTGGTCCAATTTTCAATGATTCTGCCGCATAGATCCGACTGAATTTGAGCGATGGCCTGGGTTATGTTGACTTTAAGGGCATCGGTCGATTGCGGCTTATTGGCATAGACCTGCGACTTCAGAAAACCCCACAAGAAAAAGTCTAGCGGGGTCAAATCGCACGATCTTGGTAGCCAATTCACGTCACTTCTGCGAGAGATAACCATACCCTCAAATCGTTCATGCAGAATGTCCATCGTGGCGTCCGCTATGTGGCACGTAGCGCCGTCCTGCTGGAACCACATGTCGTCCACGTCCATATCGTTCAATTTGGGCCAAAAGAAATTGGTTATTATCGTTCTGTAGCGCTCGCCATTGACGGTGATGGCCTCACCAACGTCGTTTTCGAAAAAGTACGGATCAATGATGCCGCCGGCCCAAAATCGGCACCAAACAGTAACTTTTTGTGGATGCATTGCTACCTGTTGAACCTCGTGTGGGTTGGCGTCGTGCCATATACGGCAATTATGCTTGTTAACATAGCCATTCATCCAAAATGCGCCTCGTCGCTAAAGATGATTTTTCGGCCAAAATTGGGGTCCTCTTCTAAATGCTCCGAAGCCCAGTCAGCAAACAAATGGCGTTGTCTATGGTCATTAACTTTGAGCTCCTGGGCCAGTTGAATCTTGTACGGGTGCAGGCCCAAGTCCCGACACAAAATTCGCCAAGTTGAAGTCTGCGAAAGGCCGAGTTCTTGTGCACGGCGAGGAATTGACTGCCTCGGGTTCTCCTGCACACTTTCACTTACAGCGGCGATGTTCTCGGCCAATCTGGCTTTCCTTTGACGTACGGGTGTTGGCTGATCGTTTACCGAACCGGTCGTCTCGAATTTGGCCACCAAACGTTGGAGAGTCGACTTTGAAGGGCCACCGCGTCTGCCGTAAAATGGGCGCGACGCGCGCAACGTTTGTACTAACGAACACTCATTTTGATAATAAAGTTTTATCATTTGGACGTGCTGCTCAATCGTATAACTTGTCATGGTCATGGATTTGGCATCAGTGACTGAATAATAAACAACAGGTTAGACAGACGCCGCCAAAACAACATGGCCGCCACAGGCTGCCATCATCGACCCGCACCAATTGAAAAACCCTGTACATTATATTGTTGTGTCTGAGCCACAAGGTTTGTGGCAGCGTCCGTTGTCCGTAAGCCTTAGGCATCTGATGCTGATTTTGACAACTGAACGAAGATTGTCTGGACGACGGACAATCGATAAGAAGAAAACAACAACAGCTGACAGAGAGTTTCCGGCAAGCTGTCATCGTAGACAGACGCGAGAATTGTAGATCAGAGAATTATTCTTGTTTAAAGCTTGAGTGAGCTGCGCTGTAAATAGTAAAGCTTGTTATTCTTACGCGAGTGTTTTCATTTACCTGAGTGCAAGCGCAAGTGCGAGAGTGAGCGCAACAATATAATAACATAAGCAACACGCAAACGAAAATAAGAATACTCTTTTACACTTATCGCATTGTTCTCCAAAGTCCTAATAGACCAGAGATTGTCATTATAAATATATTAATTGGAAACGTCACTATATGAAAACTAAATTAATAATATTTCTCATTCAGATCATATTTATAACAATTAAAATCAAGCCACGTTTGCGACCATTGTCACAACAAATATAAATACTTGCGATTGACTTTATGAAAGATGTTGATTCACCTCTATGCAAAAATTAACTCGCGTAAGGATATTACAATACATACACACATACATATACATAATGTATAATGTAATTTTTGTTTTCAATAATGAGAAACAATAGTTATGCTCACAATAGGATGTAAACGTACCACAGTGTTATTAAGAAATAAAATTGAGAAGTACATGAAGAATATATATATAGGATAGTTTATAATATATAACAATATATTACAATATATTACTATTAAATCAAATACATCGAAGATTTTTGACACCGTAACGTCCAAAATATAATTAGATGCTCTCTCACCAACACATTATTATCGAGTCTGACAACTACAGTCTACATTTATGAATCATTTTCTACATTTCCATAATTATTATTAATAACAGAATGGAAGCAAAGATAATTAATAGTAAAATAAATAATAAAATATCTACCGACAATATTGTTCAAGGGTTTTTTCATTCTAACCCCCTTCAAATCTTCGATTTACTACACAATTTATGTAAAATTTTGTTACTCGCGCAATAAAAATTACTTTTCTCTAAAACAAGTATTATTGTTCCAATATATTAAATTAATGGCACTATGATTTCTATAAATCTCGACAGAAAAATAATATCGATGAAAATAATTAGTCGTGTTATAAAAATTATATATAATACGTCAGTTCCAATAATATTGCTATTAAATGTAATATTGCTATTGAATGTGAAAAATTCACTTTATAACTATGGCAATGCTATTCAATTCCATTGACACAGCAACATTTTTGCCTCCCTTTTGTCTTCAAATTCTTTTTCGAATTGTTCTTTTGACTATCATAAGAAGACCTTGATTCTATTTGCCTGTTGCAGGCAATGAGTAACGAAGAGGTGGAAAAATTGGCAGAAAACTTAGAAATGTCAATTGAGGATTTGCAGAAGTGCTTCAACAAATCGAATACAGTATTCGGTGAGTTGTAATTATGACTAATAATATTATTAGTATTATAATAGTATTTTAATTTTATTATTATTATTATTACAATATTATTGTAATTAGTAATACTGTAAATGAATATTAATAATTCGAACAATTCAAACGATGATATTTCTTTTACTGCTACTAATGCCGACTATTATATTTTAGAGGAATTAACAAACATATATCGAATTGTGAAAGACAATATGCAGACTACAAATTTCGACGAAAAGGCTTTAAGAATTGGCTGCTTTGTCACCTGCTTTGGCCAGAATAAAGAAGTAGTAAGAGTCAAACATGATATATAATTTATTAAAAATATATTCCCCTCATAAAACAAAATTATTTATTCATATCAGACGATTAGTTTTTATCGATGTGTTGGAGAATAGACTTAGCTTTACAGCATTTAATTTCAATAACGGAATTAGTGATTACTATTTGAATCTCACTAAAGTTATAAGAAAGAAGTTACTATGACTGAAGTTATATAAATATAAACAGACACATACGCACACATACGCACACACATACGCACGCACTTGCGTATATACATATGCAAAATTTCTTATTTATATCAGATAATTCATTTTTAGTTGACAGGGAATAAGTTTTGATTTTTGTGTTATAAGATTTAAATTGAATTTTGAAATTTATGATTATAGTTTACTTTAAGTTATGGAAATTAATACTATTTAATGATAATAATCATATGACTATAATTATATAATTAATATACATTTACATAATTTACGGTAATAATTATATAATTTGAATGCCGAATAATTACATAATTATATAATGTGAATAATAAAATTTTTATTTACTATATGTCTTTATATTGTTATACTGTCTTTATATTGTTTATGTCTCATTTTCAGGTGAAAGGTACAAATATCAATATAGACAAATTTAAAAATATAGTATACACTAGATTAAAGTGGGGAGAGAGAATTAATGATTTTCCAAAATGGGACCAAATGTTAGACACATGCTACAATCAAGGTAAATATTAATCGAAATATATGCAAAACATCATTAAGAATTTCACATCACTTGTTGATTTATGCATTTTTTGTATATAATTTACTCATTACTCAATTTAATTATTCGTAACATTATACCTTCCCCTGTCTACATTTCAGTTAAAAGTGAAACTGACGAATGCAAGCTCGGTATCAAAGCCACAGTATGTTATGCGAATGAAATGGGATATTTCAAAAACGACGATTATAGCGATATTTGACGCTATAATCGAGGAAATAATAACAGGACAAGTAGAATATCACAAAAATTATTCTAGGCAAATATGTTTCAGTCAAATCAAGATCCAGATCTGTATGAGAAATCTCTCCTATTGCTGTATGCGAAGGACTTCATTTAATTTGACAGAGATTGCTAACAACTCGATTTCTAGATTTAAAGATAAATCACTATAGATCGTAGCTACTAACAAAGTTAAAAAGAAAATAAGAAATGATACATGATGATACACGAGAAGGCAACCTAACATTTGCAGGAAATGTGGATTACTTTGCGTTAATAAAGTTTCATTTATGTATTATATTTCATTATTTGAAGTAAAATTGTGAAAACATTTGAGAATGGTTACTTCTCTAATTATTTTGCATTTTAATTATGCCAGAGATTTGTCTTGTTTCTAACGAAAAAATCCCCGATAATTGATATTTTTACAAAATATTCATATAACAAAATATGAAAGAAAAGCATGCAACACGAGCAAGAAGACTTTCACAACCCATTCAATTCGCACTCATTTTCTGGAAATCACATCTAAAAAGAATCACGAAAACGCAAGAGTGTCGGTGATTAATAGGAAATAAAACATCAACGCATTTTAATAACGTTAATTCCACTTTTGTGCTACAATTACTTCGTGCAAATGTAAATATGACACGACACGATGATGAGCATCGTCGAATGATAATTGATGGAATTTCCTTCCGTCGCATTGACATTTTTGCCGATGTCGCACGCGACAACCTTCAAAATTGTTCGAGATAAAATGATAACATTTGTAAACATTTTATTTCTCAAATTATTAAAAGATTTCTTCTTTTCCAATTCTTGAATAATCAATATTGCTACAAACAAATAACGAAACATCGATAAAACTCCTTTAATAATTCCTCCGTTAATAATTCCTTTTACACGTTTCAGAAGAGTTTGTTAAAATGAAACACAAAAGCGCAAAAATATCGATAATTAATAGGAATTCAAACGTTAACATGTTTTAATTATATTAATTCCGCTCTTGTCCCTAACGCTGAATTTAAACAAATGCAAATACAACAACTGATTTTTATAAAATATTAACCAATGAATTTCTCTGTTGTATTTGCATTTGTCCCGATCGATAATGTATTAAAGCATATCGCACGCGATAACCTTTAATACATCATTATCTATAAACATAACACTTACATTTTATTTTTTATTGCTTTGTTATAACACATCACTCAATAAGTTCGTAGGATGACATATAAATGGCGTTACTATTGACAAATCCATATGATTTTTAGGAAGTACTAACTTTCAAATGATACGTGTCAAAATTTCATGACAATCGGACGTTTAGTTCACAAGTTACAGTGGTTCGAAGTAGGTACCGCGTTTGCTCAATCAAAAACAGCAACGCGTCGACAATTCAGCGGGCTGTTTGGAGCTGTTTCAGCGCAATAAGAAGGATTTTTTGATGCGGTATGTGACAATGGATGAAACATGGATCCATCACTACACTCCAGAGTCAAATCGGCAGTCAGCTGAGTGGACAGCAACCGGCGAAACCCGCTCAAAGCCGAAACTAAAGCCTATCTTGAGACCAAAGATAAATCGTTCTACAAAAGAGCCATCGAAATATTAGAGAAGCGTTGAAGGAGACTATGTAGATGAATAAAGTCAAATTTTGCCTAAAAGTTGTTTTATTAGTATTGGTTTATTAGTCATCCTACGAACTTATTGAGTGATGTATTATATAAATGCATATCGCAATATTGATGCCAGTTTATAATAGGAAGAGTGTAAACTATTTGCTGTTAACTAGAATATTTCATAACAAAAAAAAAAATTATTCCCGAATAAAATAGAAATATGAAACGGACTCTCTTGCTTCTCTTCACGTTCGTTGTTGCCGTAAGTATCTACATTATATAATATCATAAGCAGTACGCAAACGAAAATAAAACTTTTTTACACTAATCACAATATTCTCCAAGATCCTAACAGACCAGAGATTGTCATTATAAATACATTAATTAGAAACGTCACTGATATAACAGCTAAAATAATGGCATTTCCCATTCATATCGTATTTGTAACAATTAAGATCAAGCCATGTTTGCAATCATCGTCGCGACAAATATAAATATTTGCGACTGATTTTATGAAAGATGTTGATTAAACTTTATACAAAAATCTACTCGCGTGAAAATATTACAATAATGATATAATGTAACAATTCTTGTTTATAATAATAGTTACGCTTCAATAATAGACGAACGATAGTTACGCTCAGAATAGGATGTAAACATATCACAGTGTTATTAAGAAATAAAATCGAGAAATACGTGAAAAATGTGATGGTTTATAATGTATAGCAATATATTACTATTTAGTCAAACACGTCGAAGGTCTTCGATTACCGTAACATCCAAAATATAATTAGACTCTCTCACTAGTATATTATTACCGGGTCTGACAACTATAATTTACATTTATGAACCGTTTTCGACATTTCCATAATTATTATTAATAAGAAAACGGAAATAAACATAATTAACTGTAAGATAAGAAAAAATATCTAACGAAAATATATTTTGTCTAACAGAAACTAACAAAACTTTCTTACTTAAACACGCTCTTGTGGAATTTTATATATTTTTTTTAAGTTGGTACAACTGTCAGTGACATTTGTGTCAAATTTCATGATGCTACACTACTTAGTAAATTGATAATGATTTTTATTAGATGGTGATCGTTGTTCACAATGATTTTTACAGTGTTAAAATTAGTTGATCAAAGAATTTGCATCAAATTTTGTGTCGCGAACCAAATAAACTTTACGCAAACGTTGGGAATGTTAAGAAAGACATACCTTGAGGATTGTCTATCGCGAACAAGAATTTTTGAGTGACATAAGGTGTTCAAAAAGGGTCGTGAAGCTATCAATAATGAATCACATTCTGGATATCTGTTCTGGATCAACGTTCTGGATCAACAGTTGCTGGGTCGAGTGGGCCGCGCTATGGCCTGAATAGCTGCAACGCTTCTCCAATCATCTATGTCGGCGCGCTCCCACTCCTCAGATTTCTGTCATTAATAACTCGATAATTATTGCGAATCTCGCAAAACGGTATGGAACTTTTATGTTTGTCTTAACCCAATCTACCTTCACACTTCGGGTTGTAAACTTATAACCACCCTGTATATCGTATATCGTATATCGCGATATTGACAACAGTTTAGCTGAAATAGTGCGAACTACTAATCATTAATCAAAATTTATTATCGCAGAAAAGAAAGTGATTCTCAGGTTGAAACATGAAAGGAACGTTCGTACTCGTCTTCATGTTCGTCGTTGCGGTAAGTATGTAAGCAGTGCGGTATCTATGTAAGCAGAACGCAAACTCAATTAACGCCCTTCTATATTTATCGTAATGTCAGGTCTCTACAGGCGCAAAGATCGCCAACAATAATCGCGAAACTCGAATCGAATTCAGCTGTTACAAATGCTCGGAATTTCAATCACACAGCGTCAGTATGTAAAGATCGATTGATATAGAATAACTATCATACAAAAATAAAGTTACACGAGAAAGAAACGTAGGGACAACGATATAACGCGATATAACGCGACGAATATTATTATTAAGAATCACGAACAGTAGTAATAATCGTGATAGAATGCGGGCGGGTTACATAATGTTATTTGAAAATAAAATTTTATCCAAAATATTATTTAAAAATAAAACAGAAAATGCATATTTAGTCACGTGTCTTAAAATTACGGTTATCGTATTAGCACATGTGAGTCTATAAGACTCATGTGTGTGTTTCATAAATTCCTCTATATAACAAGAGATACGCTTTTATATGATTTCTTTGCATCTTAAATCTGTGCTGTTTGATAAAGAAATATAATAAAAGTAATCATTCAAAGTCACATTAATCTTTCGACCTAACATGATGTTTTACACTAGAACTTGGGCTTGAAAATAGTAACATACATATGTATATATGTAAAGAAGCAGGTGTGACTCAGTAATTCCTTGCAATATTGCTTTGCAAGTATTTAGTTTACAAAACTGTACTTGGTAAAAAGATTTACTGAGGCAATTTTACGAACAAAATTGTACGCTAGTATATTCTAATACTATTAATTCTGTTCTTGCCTGAACGATAAATTCACGCGAGTGCAAATACCATTCGTCAAAGCTCATCAAATGGTGAATAACTGAATTCTCATTTCATTTCTTCTATATTGATGTCGATATCGCATGTGATAACCTTCGATACACCTATGATAAAATCTTATGTTTTATCGCAGTATATAAGTACGGCAAATGGTGATATTGGAATCAGTTTATCTGTTTGGTGCCGACTATTAATTGCAAATCGGTTAATCGTGCAGACGGAAATGATCTTTGAATCAAAACATGAAGCGAGAATTTGCGTTTCTCATCATGCTCGTCGTTCTTGTAAGTGTACACATAAATATATAAGTGTAAATAAAATGCAAACGGAATTAAAGTTCTTTTATAATTATGGCTACGACAGGACCGAGTGGACGAAAAATTCGTCGCGATGATGACTTTATTTAGTTAATTTGATGATTTTGAAATTTCCAAAAATCAGCAAGTTAACAAAAGTCAGAGCGCTATTGTAAAAATATATTCTTGAGACTAAATAGAACAAAAAAGTCGAGTGCCACTTTTTCTTCTGACAAATAGCGAGATATCGTGAGTTAGATATTGAAAAGGTTATCAAACTTTTCTTAAATATCTAAAAAAATATTAGATTAAAATATTATATTAAATAAAAAAATTTTTTCAGACAAATTTCAAATTAATTGCTAGAAAAAGATGAAGTAATAAAAAATTAGGGTATCCGTCTAAAGTTTTTATGTTGATCTTGACTGGACTTTTCAAGGTTATCCTAAGGTCAAATTCATAGCGTCAGTAAATAGATCCTTTGAAGCCCTACAACTTTTGTCTGAAATATTTTTCTCTAAAATGTCGTGTTAATGAAAAAATCGGGTGACCCGGATGATCTGAAACACCCGATATATCCATATTGAGATACAATATTATTGCGCAATACAATTAAAGTAATATCTTATATTTATAGCAGCCCATTATATATAATATATAAATATATAATAGTTAAATAAAACAATTTCTTCTTTTCTTCAACTTCAATTTAACAACGTTTTTTTCAATATGTTCATAGATATAATTTCACATCATTATATATACGGTTGTATAGAGACAAAATACATATATGAATTATATAATAATATATATTATTAAATTATTCCTGTATAATTAGCCAATTCTATTGATACTACATCAATACAAATTTTTAATATCTTCAAATTTCTTGTTAATCGTGTCCTCCATGTCTTGTTAATCGTGTCTTCTGAAGATATTGATTCTACTTGTTCGTTGCAGACAATAATCTCAGCCGAAGATTTTGTGGAAAGATTGGCGGACTCATTATCGATGACTAGAGAAGATATACAGAAATGCATCGAAAAAAGAGGTACAACGCAAGGTAAACTCTAACTCGTTTGAGATTTTTATTAAGTCGACTTAATCGAATAATGTTATTCCCACTGCCAATATTGATTCGATATTTTCTAGAGGACATAATGCACTTTGACCAAATAGTGATGGACAATTTGCAAACTATAGATTTTGACGAGAAGGCTTTAAGACTTGGCTGTTTCCTTACCTGCTTAGGCCAAAAAAAAGAAATAGTAAGAATCATCTTCCCGTTAAATAAGTTGTTAAAGCCTCCCTCACATGCATATAAAATTACTTATACATATCAAACAATTAGTTTTCGTTCGATGAGGTAGAGAATGGGATTGGATGTACGTTTGTAGAAAATTGAAATTTCGTTTTGAAAATAGTTTTGATTATAGTTAAAATTCTATTACCATCGTTAAATATTAATAATTATATCATATATAATTTATGTTTCGTATATATTTACATTTTGATTCATTATACGTCTACATCATTCATATACACTAATATATACGTCTATATACTAGAGAATACGAGACTACTACGAGAATATATTAATTTCAGATGTCTGGTGCATATATAAATATAGAAAATATAAAAAAGATATTGCGCTCCAAGGTTAAAGAGCCTAAACCTGACATGATTGCTGAATTTTATCAAGTATTGGACATGTGCAACGATCAAGGTAATATTGATTAACATATGTGAATTGTATCGCAAAAAAAAACAGTTCAAATAATTATTGACTCGTGTATATTTTGTGCATATATTCATGATCATAAACTATGTACATAAATTAAATACAACTGTGTCTATAAGTATACAATATAGAATATGCAATATATATAATATGGAGTATACAATATAGAATACAATATAGAATGTATACACATTCTCTTTGTGTACCATTTGTGGTATAATACATTCGCATTTGTGGTATACATTGTGGTATACATTGTGGTATAATACTTTGTGGTATAATACATTCGCATTTTTTGCATTTCAGTTAGAAGCAAGACTAACGAATGTGAAATAAGTCTCAAATTTCTAGTTTGCATAATAAGAGAAACGCGACGTTTAGAAGAGAATAGTATCCAATATCGTTACGAGAACACCACTAATAATGAAGTAATAGAATAAAACTTGATATTATTGTATTTTATATAAAACAATACATGTAATAACAAGAGAAAGAGTAGGAGTTGGACAAATCAACGGTTGTTGGAAATATTATTGATTTCACATTAATAAAATTTTATTTAAGTACTGTTTACGTTTTATTTCCTGCATTTATTTATTCGAAATAGAATAAGGACATTCGTAGAAATTTAATTTCTCCAATTATTGAAACATTTATCTCTTACCAGTGAAAAGATCTGCGATAACCGATTTCTACAAAATTAATTAATTCTATTAGACAATTACATGAGTTTTATAACTAATAATTAATATCAGAATTAATTAATTATTGAATTAATTAATTCTTATAAAACATTCATGTAAACATTCATATAAAAGACATTGATAAAAGAGATGCACAAACACCACGAACAAGAAACAGAGAAATAGAGATAAACTTTTTCAAGCAACTTGTTTCACGCGTTCCGAGAAGCGTTTTGTTCAGATGAAAACATGCCAATGTGTCGATTAATAAGAAACCGGACGTTAATGCATTTTGTTTATTTTAATTCTTTTCTTATCTAACAGTGACTTCACGGAGTCATAATAGCGCGATCGTAAATTTTACTGAACTTCGTACGGAAAAGTTATTAGTTATCCGGAATAGAATTTTGGAATTTTTGTAAAAATGCCATTTCTCTAATCACTAAGAGATTTATCTCTTACCCGCACATAGTTCTCGGGTAGAGAATATTCTTATAAATATTTATATTTCAAAGCATTCATAGAAAAGAAGGACACACATATATATACATATAACAAGCAACAAGCAACATACATATCCCAGACAGCACACGGATGTCCATTGGACATCCGTTATATGTCTATTTTTTTTACAAAAGATGTCCATAGGACGTACGTTTGTCACAACTTCGGACATAGGACGATGGACGTACATCGGACGTCCTACAGATCCGATGTTCAATAAGGACATCCTTGTTACGTCCAATTTATGTCCACGAACATAAATCGGACATACGGATATAAATTGGACGTGAAACATACATCCATTGGATGTCCGGCGCTGTCTGGGATAATAAGCAACAAGCAATAAAATATTGATAATTTCTGCGAATGATTTATTTAGCATACTTCGGAGAATACTTTGTTCAAATAAAAATACAAAAACGCGAGAGTACCGACGTTTAATGGAAAATTAAATCTTAATACGTTCTAATTGCATTAATTCTATTGTTATCTAACGCTAATTTTGTATGAGTTTAAACACAATTCACTGAGGTTCGTCGAATAGTAACTGACGTGATTCTTTTTCCGTTATATCGACTTTTATGTCGATATCACACAGGAAAACTTCCGATACACTTGCAACTTAGCTTTATGTTTTATTATTATATAATATACATAAATATACAATATACATAAATATACATAAATACCATACATCGCAATATCGACAGCAGTCTATAGCTAGCCGAGTGTGAAATATTAATTGTCGATTGGAGACCATTATCGTGGAAAATGAAACTATTCATGAACCGGAACATGGAAAGAACGATTTTGCTTTTCTTCACTATTATTGCTGTCGTAAGTATCTACGTAAATACGTAATTATAAGCAAGGTACAAACGAAATTCAGTCCCGTCTACATTTATCCAAAGTAGAAGTAACGCTCATCGCGACACTAATGATAAAAGCTGATTCAACTCAAGTCTTATAAAGACGATATCAATCAATCAATAATACAATTTATATATCACTGACGCTTCCAATTGACGTCGTAATAATTAAAGTTAAGTCAATTTTTACGTTTATTACCGCAACAAGCGTTGTGTCTACACGTTACGACTGGCATTGCGATATACTAGAAAAACGTGTAATTGTCATTAATAACTAAACGAAAACGAACGTAATTAGTCATTACCAAACAAAAAGTATGAAACTTGCTGGAAATCAATAATAAACAACAGGAAACTGGAAAACAAACAAATTTTTCATCTCAATCAAGCGCTTATTCTATCTATTTCTAAAAATTGAATTTGTATAAAAACTTAGTACAAAAAGCTATTTCTCCGTCTAAATTTTTTGTCGAACCTTACATTAACTATGCTGTAATCTTGAACTTAATTCTATTTGCCTATTGCAGACAATGAGCTTCGACATAGGTTACATAGAACATATAATAACTATTACCAATCTAACCATAGAAGAATTACTGTCATGCATGAACAAGACACGCATAAGACTTGGTGAGATTTTATTCGTTCTCTTATAAACTCTCTTATCAATTCAAGCCATAGCTCTTATCAATTCAAGCAGTTGTCGATCTAATATACTTGATATTCGTTAGGGGAGTTAATGCATTTTGAGGCAATTATCGAAGATAATTTGGAGATTGATTTCGATGACGTGGTTTTAAAAGTTGGTTGCCTCTTCAGTTGCATATTTCAAAAGAGAGAAATAGTAAATATCAAGCGCAAAGAATAATATTTGAAAAATACCAAGTGTTTGGGATAAAGATTTGCAGGAAAAATGGTTGGTAAGAGCATAGATGCAAATGGTCACGTTGCCGGCTCCGTCGTGGAGACGGTGTCGCCAAGACTTAACATCAGTTGCTCGGAGACAAAAGGCGCGAGCCGAGATGTAAACAGCGTGCCAGCAAACACACTCTGGTTTGTACGTCTGCATGTTCACGCACATATATGCGTGATCCGCACGTGTCGCACATGTCGTTATCGCGGCTCTCGTTATCAAGCGGTCACCTGTAACGGAGCAGGGGGTTGCCGAACTATAAGCTGGCAATTCCTGATTCGTTGCTGGCGATTGAATCAACGGGAGCCAATGCAAGAGGCCTACCTGGCCTACCGGGACAATGGATCGGAATCTATTAAAAAGAGATTCTCCGTTGTCCTTAGGTTCGTTCGTTTTTTGAGAGGTCTCTGAGTCGAATGCTCCGGTCTTGCCCGTTTACGACTTCTTCACAAACTGCGGGCTTTTGTCTTGCAATTCGGCGAATTGCCCGGTCTGCACGTCGGCAAACGAAGCAACTTCTTTGCGCGTTTCCGTGCAGAATCACGTCGCATCGCCAAACATTTCTCTATACGGCGCTAACATTTTCTTTTGTTGTTTTTTTTGTATATATCCGTTTTTGTTGTCACTAAAGTGATTTTAAACTCTCTGTCGTTGGACAGTTCCCTGTCGCTCCATTCCCTTTTCTTGCCGATATCAACGTTTCTCGCTGATCGTTTCGTTGCGATCGCTCGCGTACTCAACACTAAGAATTATACAGGGTGTCTCAAAAGTAACGGACCACCCTAATAACTCTTCAGTATTGAAGTTTCAAGGAAAATGACCTGAATAAAAGTTGTAGGGATTTAAGTGAGCTACCTTATGATGACCTTGACTTTGACCTTGACCTCTATTTTCAAGATCATTTGAAGGTTAACTTACATTTTTTAGCGCCCTGATTTTTGTTAATTTGATGATTTTGAAATTTCCAAAAATCAGCAAGTTAACAAAAGTCAGAGCACTATTGTAAAAATATATTCTTGAGACTAAATAGAGCGAAAAAGTCCAGTACTACTTTTTCTTCCGATAAATAGTTAGTGAGAATCGTAAATTAAATATTGAAAAAGTTATCAAAGTTTTCCTCAAATATCTCAAAAAATATTAGACAAATAAAAAAATATTTTAGACAATAGTTGTTCAAATTAACTAATGGAAAAAAACAGTGTAATAAAAATACGGGTTTCCATTTAAAAAACGCAAGTTGACCTTCAAATGACATTGAAAATAGAGGTTAAGGTCAAAGTCAAGGTCATCATAAGATAGCTCATTTAAATCCCTACAACTTTTGTATAGATCATTTTTCTTCAAACTTCAATACTAAAAAGATATTAGGGTGGTCCATTACTTTTGGGACACCCTGTATATTTCATAACGGAACTAATGTTTAATCGACATGGGAAAGATGAAATTTTGATTTTTTAGTTTATAAAATTTAAGTTCAATTTTGATACTATTGATTGTATTTTTATTTAAATCATAGATATTAACGACGTTAAATACTAATAATATCACGTGATACATAATTTATATTTTGTATTAGGTGTACAAATGAATAATTTTAATTTTTCAATTAAATTCTAGGTTTATTTAAAAAAAAAGTGAAGCAAATTTTTCTATCAAAGTATTCGTTGTTACTTTCTATAACTTTAAACCATCTTTCAGGCAACTGATGAATTCCATCTCAAGAAAATGCTGTCTTAGGACGCGATAAAGTCGTCAAGCGATTTTCGGATCTCATTCACAGATTGAAAGTGCGTATCGGACAAGGCGTGTTGCATCGACTGGAACAAATGGTAATCAGATATAGCAATATCTGATGAATATCTGGTGGCCGGCTGCCGCAAAACATCCCAGCCAAGATTCATCATAATGTCTTTTGTCTTAGAAACAAGATGTGGCCCAGCGTTGTCATACAATAATTTCACAGAACGTTCTCCTTTATCCGTATATGGGCGTTCCAACTTTTTACTCAAGAGGATGATAACTGACATTGGTAGCGGTTAGCAGTAATTATATTTCCCAGTTTCAGCAGGTCATAATAAAGCACGCCCTTGATGTAGAAATGCATAAAATACAGAACAGAACCTTCTTTCCGAAATGATTGGGCTTTGTGACTGATATTGATAGTGCGCCGAGATTTACTCATGGCTTTCTATGTTTTGGATTGAGACAGAGTATATATTCCTTACTGCCTGTAACGATTTTCCAAAACAAAGACTTTCGACGCTATTTATTGAGAAGAGAAAGACACGCTGTCGTTCGTTGATTTTTGTTCATGCATTAAAATTTATGCGGAACCCATTTTCCTTCTTTTTCTCAGCGAACATTTGTTCCAAATCATCGTTGTCGTATTTACAGGATCCCCAGGATATTGTTTGTCAATTAAACTAAAATCACTGTTTTTAAACGTTTAGATCAAAATGTACATCGTACGGTATAACAGTTTTACCGAAAAAAGAACAAATCAATCCATATGTTCGTGTAACATTTTTTCTGTGTTGAAATTCCCAAAAAGTAGTGTCGAATATGTACTTTATTTGTTGCCATTTGTTACTTTATTGAACTTTATTGAATTTTACTGAATATTTTTTTTATATTTAGTCTTCCATCATACTAAATATCATTTTTAATAACTATATGTTAACACTACATAACCGTAAAAGAGCGAGAAAATCAATAAATTCCTTAAATTTCTGAAAAAATTTGGTTATTCATTTGTGCATTTAATATATTAATATTTTTATTTATTCTACATATATATTGTCACAATTGATACACTAATTTTAGATAACGGGTGTGCATATAGATACGGACAAGATAAAAGAAATAATGCGTATCATGATTACTAATGAAGGACATCACGTGAAGCTACTTGATCCAAACTTCCATATACTGGACACTTGTAGCGATTGAAGTAAATATTAATCAAAATATAAATATAGAAAATGGTAAAAAAATTCAACTTATTCATTACATTTTGTTGTTAAGCATAATAAACTCATGCTTGGTTAATTGGACATAACTAGCCATAATTACATATTATATATTCTTATTTATGCATTTCAGTTAAAAATATAACCAACGAGTGCAAAGCAGGTCTCAAATTCATAATATGCGGAGCGCACAAATCGAAAAAATATTAAATTATATTCAAAGATATCGACGACTATCAAACTGTTATCGTGAATAATATGCTTATAATTAAAATGTTCTAGCATTTACTACGGCTTTCAATTTCTCTAAAATTGTCTAAAATCTTATTATAATTGACAACGTACAAAATTTAAAGTAAAAATACATAAATCTAAAACAAATATAAAATTATATAACAAATATAAACAAATATAAACTAATTTATTAAAAAAAAATAAATACAATTGTCTTAAATTAGGACACTGTCACTAACTGAAACATCTCCTCTCTCTTATATAGTTTTTAAAATTAGTTTGTAATAAAATATACATACTTTATTGCGAAAGAATACGTTCCTTTAGTTTAAAATAATTTAAGAAAAAATTCTAATATGTTAATCTAGTATGTAATGTGTCGACGACAAAAATTATCGTTCGGTAGCGATCAAAGTTCAAATTGTTTATCTAATATTTAGAGAATATTTTATTATAGTGAAAACAGATGAACTAAAATGTCGATGATTAATAGGAAATCGCAAGCTAATGTATTCTCATGACGTTAATTCTATTCTTGTGAATGTCGATGATTAATGGCAAATTGCAAGATAATATATTTTAATGACATCAAATCTAAATCTCTCGTCCAAGTTTCGCACAAATATAAACACAATACATCGATTTTCATCGAAAGAAGAATGTTGGAATTCTCTTCTCGTCTGCATATGTCTAGATGCATATAATAACCTTTGATACGCTTCTAACCATGTTTTACGTTTTATCACGATATATAAATACTGTACATCGCGATATCGACAACAGTTTAACTGAAAGCGTGCGAACTATTAGACGTTAAACAAAATCTATTATCACGAAACAGAAAGTGATTCTCAAGTTGAAACATGAAAGGAATGTTCCTGCTTTTCTTCACGTTCGTCGTTGCGGTAAGTATCTACGTAAGCAGAACGCAAACGCAATTAAAGCCATTCTTATATTTATCGTAATGTCAAGTCCCTGCAGGCGTAGAGATCGACGCTACAATGATCATGAAACTCAAATTGGACTCAACTGTTACAAATATCATGTTAATCACAAGCGTCAGTGTATAAAGATCGATTGATGTAGAATGACTATCATACAAAGATAAGTTTACACGAGGAAGAAACGTAAGGATAACGAAATAACGCGACTAACGTCATTATTAAGAATTACGAACAGTAGTAATAATCGCGACAAAATGTGGGCGGGTTACATAATATTATGTAAAAATAAAATTTTATCCAAAATATTATTTAAAAACAAAATCAAAAGATACATGTTCAGTCACATGTCTTGAAATCACGGCTATCGTATCAATACACGTAAGTCTCTGAAACTCATAACGTGTATTTTGTATAATAAGTTTCTCTGTATAATAAGAAATACGCTTCTATAGAACTTTCTTGCATCTTAAATCTGTGTTCGATAAAAAGATATAATAAAAATAATCATTCAAAGTCAATCCTTCGACTTAACATGTTTTAACCCAAGCTAGAACTTGGGCTTAAAAATAGTACATACATATGCACATACAGGGTCTGCCAAAAGTTCCGGAACGGCTAATTATTTCAAAAAATGATGATTGTTTAAAACAATGTTTGAAATAAAAGTTGTAGGGCTTAAAAAAAGCTATCACATACTGATAATTATTTGATCTTGGAATGACCTTGAGAAACGTCATCAAGGTCGACATAAAAATATTAAATAGAAACTCTAATTTTTTATTACACCGTCTTTTTCCACCAATTAATTTGAACAACTTTTGTCTGAAACATTTTTTTATTTGCCTAATATTTTTTGAGATATTTAAGGATAACTTGGTAACTTTTTTAATATTTAACTTACGATATCTCGCGAACTATTTGTTGGGATAAAAAAATGGTACTAGATTTTTCTATTCTACTTGGTCTCAAGAATATATTGTTACAATAGCGCCCTGACTTTTGTTAATTTGATGATTTTGAAATTTCGAAAGATCGATAAATTAAAAAAAATAGAGCATTATTGTACCAATATATTCTTAAAATAAAATAGAATAGAAAAGTCTAGTGTTATTTTTTTATCCCGACAAACAGTTCGCGAGATATTGTAAGTTAAATATTAAAAAAGTTACCAAGTTATTCTTAAATATGTCAAAAAATATTAGGCAAATAAAGAAATGTTTCAGACGAAAGTTGTTCAAATTAATTGGTGGAAAAAGACGGTGTAATAAAAATTGGAGTTTCCATTTAAGATTTTTATGTCAACCTAGATAACGTTTTTCAAGGTCATTCCAAGGTCAAACAGTTATCAATATCTGATAGCTTTTTTTAAGCCCTACAACTTTTGTTTCAAATATTGTTTTAAATAATTATTATTTTTTGAAATAATTAACCATTCCGGAACTTTGGGCAGACCCTGTATATAAAGAAGCATATGTAACTCAATAATTGCTTACAATATTCCTTTACAAGTGTTTAGTTTACAAGACCGCGTTTGACAAAAAAAACTCACTGAAATAATTTTAAACTAACAAAACTGTACGCTAGTGCATTCTAATACTATTAGTTTTGTTCTTGTCTGACGATGAATTCACGCGAGTGCAAACACTATTCGCTGAGGTTCGTTAAATGGTGAATTCTCTTTTCATCTCCTCTGCATTGATGTCGATGTCGTACGTGATAACCTTCGATATGCCTGTGACCAAACTTATATTTTATCAGAGCGTAGTATATAAGTATGGCAAATCGCGATATTGGCGTCAGTTTATCAGTTTGGTACTGAGTATTAATTGCTAATCAGTTAATCGTGAAGGAAGTGATCTTTAAGTTAAAATATGAAGCGATCACTTGCGCTTCTTCTCATATTCGTCATTCCTGTAAGTGTACACATAAATACGTAAATGTAAGCAAAATGCAAACGAAGTTAGGTTCTTCCATAACTATGGCAACGACAGATTTGAACAGAGGAAACGTTCGTCGCCATGATACTAGCCCAAGTTGGCCTATTTCAACCTCAACTATTACAAATACGATGTCAATTGGTAACGTTAATGGCACACAGTAAAACAATAGATTTAAAGATGTAGAAAAGTATTAAAGATGTAGAATGATCTTTACACACAATTGAGCGCGCGCTAAAAGCTTTCGACAACGACAACGATAACAATATTATAATTGTCATTATAGATTAATTGTATCATGAATAGTAGTAACGATTGTGATATAATGTTACCAGATCTTGTTGTTATTTAAAAATAAAATGAGAAGACACGTTAAAGATGCGGAATAGTTTACATTACATCTTCCCGACAAAAAATAATTGTGTATAATTATCCACGGATATTGTTTCTACATTACCATATACATAGATGTATATATGCAAATTGACGCAAATATACGTAACTATGTATATGCAAATTGAAATACATTGCTATTGTTAAAATATAATTAAAATAACAATTTATGTTTACGGCAGCCTGTAATGTAATATATAATTAAATAAAACAATTTATTTTTTTTTCAACCTAAATTTAACAACTTTTTTTCAATATGTTTACACATATAATTTCACACGATTATATACACGATCGTATGGAGACAAAATGCATATATGAATTATATAATATAATATATATTATTAAATTATTTCTATATAATTATAAATAATTTTATATAATTATATATAATCTTTTTTGATTGGATTATTACTGTTTAACAACGCATGTTGAAAAGTTCATTTCATTGTATGTATTAATTCGCCTAAATATAACTACGTTCTTTCGTAATATTAGACCGCCTGATAATTGTGATTGATTATTATTAGCCATCCTGCTTTTGCGCACTTTATTATTGTAAATAACAAAACGATAACAAATTAACAGCAAAGCAAGAGATACAACAATCTATCAAAAATCTTGTTCAAAGAAATGTCTCACTTCAATTCCACTTCAAATCCTCGAGTCTCTTCAACATAATCTATATAAAAACTTATTACTTCTTGCTAAACCTACTTCTCTACACAGAATCAATACAAGTTTCTTCAGTTTCCAAATTTCTTGTTAATCGTGTTCTCCATTATCCTACAAAGGCATTGATCCTATTTATTTGTTGCAGACGATAATCTCGGCTGATGATTTTGTGGAAAAATTGGCAGAAATGTTATCGCTGACTCAAGAAGATGTACAGAAATGCATCGAAAAGACAGGCACAACACAAGGTAAACTCTAACTCGTTTGAGATTTTTATCAAGTCGACTTGATTTAATAATGCCACTCCTATTGCTAATACTGATTCGATATTTTCTAGATGACATAATGCACTTTGACCAAATTGTGACCGACAATTTGCAAACTGTAGATTTCGACGAGAAAGCTAAAAGACTTGGCTGTTTCTTCAGCTGTTTAGGCCAAAAAATGGGAATAGTAAGAATTATTCTCCCGTTAAATAAATTGTCAAAGCCCCTCTCATATGCACATGAAATTATTTATTCATATCGGACAATTGGTTTTTGCTCAACGAGAAAGAAAATGGGTTTGGATTACGCATGTAGAATTGAAATTTCGTTTTGAAAATAGTTTTGATTATAGTTTAAGTTATATTAACATCGTTTAATATTAATAATTATGTCATATATAATTTATATTTTGTATATTTGCATTTTGATTCATTGTACATTTACATCATCATATCCATGTGTACTAATTTCAGATGACTGATGGACATCTCAATGTGGACAAGATGAAACAAATAATACGCTCTAAAGTTAAAAATCCTGAAAAACTTGCTGTAGGCTATCGGATATTGGACATATGCAATGATCAGGGTAATGTTGATTAACATATGCGATTATCACAAAAAGCAGGTCGAATAATCATTGGCCACATTCAGTAGAAAAAGTTGCTTACTAAGCGCTTAGTGATTATTATCTATGACTGGAGTATTTTTTTAGATCTTTAACACGTTCATTGTCAGACTGAAAATTTGAATTTCGTGTGGTGGCCAAAAATTTTCTCTTTTATTTATTTTTAGTCATTTTTTTGCACGATTGAACTGACATTGAACTGAGTCTTTTCGAGGGTCCTGGTTTGTCACTCATAATAAAAAACAATCGCATAAACGGCCGTTTGGTGAGAGGCCATAACACGCGATATCGCGTGACCGACAATGAACGTGTTAACGAATCCAGGAGAATGAACAACCAGGAACCATAATCACTAAGTGCTTAATAAGCAGCTTTTTCTGCTGAACACGGCCATTGATTCTTGCATATATCGTGTATATATCCACAACCGTAAACTACGTGTATGAATTAAACACGACTGTGTCTACAAGTATACAATATAGTATGTATATAGTATGTTGTGTGTACAATATATCCTCATTTTTGCATTTCAGTTAGAAGTAAGACTAATGAATGTGAAATAAGTATCAGATTTTTATTATGTATGGCGGATGAAACAGAACGCTTACGCAAAAATGACATGCAACGTCGCTACGAGGACAATAATGATAATGAATGAAATATTAAAATAAGACGCTATATTATTATATGTTCAGACTTTTTAAACGTATGTGATGAGATACGAGTTAGGTAATTCAACAGTTAGAAATATTATTGATTTGGCGTTAATAAAATTTTATTTACATATTATTCACGTTTTATTCCCTACATTTATTTATTCGAAATAGAATGATAAGAACATTCGTAGAAATTTAATTTCTTCAATTATTATTCAAAAATTTATATCTTTCCAGCGAAGAGATCTGCGACAACCAATTTCTACAAAATTAATTAATTAATTCCATTAGACAATTACATGAATTTTATAACTAATAATTAATATTATAATTAATTGATTAATTAATTTTTACAAGACATTCATGTAGTAAAATATTCATAAAAAGGACATTGGTGAAAGAGATGTACAAATAACAATGAACAGGAAACAAAAAAATACTGACAAACTTTCGCAAGTAATTTGTTTGACACGATCTATTGGACCGGACGAGGACCATTTCGTTCAGATGAAAACATGCATGTGTGTCAATGATTAATAAAAAACCGAGCGCTAATGCATTTTATATTTACATTAATTCCGTTCTTGTCTAACAGTGACTTCACCGAGCCATATTAGCACGGTCGTAAATTTTACTAAACTTGATACAGAACAGTTATTAGTTATCCGAAATAGAATTTTAAAATGTTTGTACTATAAAAAATGCCATTTTTTCAATTATTAAGAGATTTATCTCTTTCCCGCGCACAGATCCTCAATAGAAATTATTCTTTTAAATATTGATAAATATTTACTTTTGCAGAAGGCCGTTAACGAATCGCCCGCTAAGACAAAACGTCGAGCGGTGAAACGTTTGATTGTGGATAACTCTTTGAATCCGATATTTATCTTGACTTACGAACGACGTCAGATTCACATGAGAAGCTTCAAGAATATCTTTTGTCTTGCATATGTATATAATCTAGATGTACACAATTACCGGCGTCAAAAATTCCAGAGACCAGAGGGATTTGAGCGAAGGAAGTGACCGAACAATAAAGACACGTCTTGTATAATATTCACTACTCTTTTCATTTCTACACTTTAAAGCATTTATAAAAAAGAAAGACACGCACACACATATACATATGCACACGCTCACACGCATAGACGCATACACACATAACATAAGCAAGAAGCAATAAAATATTGATAAATCTCTGCGAATACTTTACTTAGTATATTTCGGAGAACAATTCGTCCAAACAAAAATACAAAAGCACAAGAGTGCCGATGTTTAATAGGAAATCGAATCTTAACATGTTCTAATTGCATTAATTCCATTGTTATTTAACGTATGAGTTTTGAACACAATTCACTGAGGTTCGTCGAACAGCGACTGACGTGATTCTCTTTTCGTTATGTCGACTTTTATGTCGATGTCACGCAAGATAACCTCCGACACGGTTGCAACTTGGCCTTATGTTTTATCATTATACGATATACATAAATACCGTACATCGCAATATTGACAGCAGTCTATAGCTGGCCGAGTGCGAAATATTAATCGATGATCGGAAACCATTATAGTGGAAAAGGAAGCGACTCGTGAACCGAAACATGAAAGGACCGATTTTGCTTCTCTTCACTATTGTCGCTGCCGTAAGTGTCTGCGTAAATACTATTATTATTAAATACCTAAATTATAAGCAAGACACAAACGAAATTCAGTCCCATCTACATTTATCCAAAGTATTATAGAAGTAACGCTCAACGCGACATTAATAACAAAAGCTGATTCAACTGCTAGTCTTATAAAGACAATGCCAATTAGTCAATAATACAGTCTATATAACTAACGCTTCCAACTGACATCATAAAAATTAAAGTTAAGTCGATTTTTACATTAATCGCCGCAGCAAGCGTTGCATTTATTTGCCACTGACATTGCGATATACTTAGAAAAACGTGTATTTGTCGTTAATAACGACGACAAACGAAAACGAACGTAATTAGTCGCGAAACAAGAAGTATGAAACTTGCTAGAAATCTAGTGACAACAAACAACAGAAAACTGGAAAACAAATAGATTTCTCATTTTAATCAAGCGCTAACTCTATCGACTTTTTAAAAACTGAATTTCTTTAAAAACTTAGTACGGAAAGCTACTTCTCCGTCCAAATTTCTTGTCGAACCATGGCTTTGATTATGCTATGATCTTGAACTTAATTCTACTTGCCTATTGCAGACAATGAGCTTCGACATAAATTACATACACAATATAATATCTATTACCAATCTGACCATGGAAGAGTTTCTGTCATGCATCAACAAGACACATATAAGATTTGGTAAGATTTTATTTGTTCTCTTATGAACTTTTTTATCAATATAACCCATAGCTCTTATCAATTCAAGCAGTTGTTGATCTAATGTACCTGATATTCATTAGAGGATATAATGCACGTTGATGCAATTATCGAAGATAATCTGGAGATTGATTTCGATGACGTGGCTCTTAAAGTTGGTTGCCTGTTCAACTGCATATTCGAAAAGAAGGAAATAGTAAGCATCAAGCGCAAAGAATAATATTTGAAAAATACCAAATATTATATATTGCATAGCGGGCAACTAATGTTTAATCGACACGGGGAAGGAGGGACTTTGATTATTTAGTTTATAAAATTTAAGTTCAATTTTGATATTATTAATTGCATTTTAATTAAATTATAAATATTAACGTTGTTAAATACTAATAATATCACGTGACACATAATTTATATTTTGTATTAGGTATACAAATAAATAATCCAAGTTTTTCAGCTACATTCTAGGTTTATTTTAAAAAAAACTAAAATAAAATTTTCAAAGTATTCGCCGTTACTTTCTATAACTTTAAGCCAGCTTTCAGGCAGCTGATGAATTCCATTTCGGAAAAATACCGTGCCTCGAGACGTGATAAACTGTCAAGCCATTTTCGAATTTCGTCCACTGATTGGAAGTGTGTATTAGGCAGAACAAGTGGTAATCAAATGGAGCAATATCTGATGAATTCGCCAAGGTGCTGCAAAACGTCCCAAACAAGATTCATTATAATGTCTTTTATTTTAAAAGAGCAAGATATGGGGCCTGGCGTTGTGATGCAACAATTTCACGGAACGTTCGTTTTTACCAGTATACAAGGTGTCCCATTTCCTAAATATCCTAACTTTTATTAATTTATCGATCTTTGGGGATTTTAAAATCATCAAATTAACAAAAGTCTAAATATTAAGCAAATAAAAAGATGTTCCAGATAAAAGTTGTTCAAATTAACTATCAAATTAAGTACAAAAAGATGATATAATAAAAAATTGGGGCTTCCATTTAAAAAAAATAATGATCAGTGAATATTTCGAAAGTGGCGCCATCTGTAAACAAACTGATATCGTTGTTTTATGTTGAAACTCTTTGAAACCATACAACTTTTGTCTGAAACATTTTTCGATTTAACGCTGTGTTTCTGAGATATTTGAGTGGACCCTTTAAAATGGGACATCCTATATAAGCATTTTCGTTTTAATTCTTGACTCAGGCGAATTAATGAGCGTTGGTAGCAATCAGCAGTAACTATATTTTCCAGTTTCAGCAGGTCATAATAAAGCACGCCCTTGATGCAGAAATTCATGAAATGCAAAGCAGAATCTTCTTTCCGAAGTGATTGGTCCTAGCGACTGATGTTGATTGTTCATCGGGATTTATTCATGACTTTCTGTGTTTTTGATTGTCATAGAGTATGCATAGAGTACGCATTCACCCGTAACTATTCCCAAAAAAAAGACTGTTGACGCTGCTTATTGAGAAGAGCAAAACACGCTGCCGCTGCCGTTGATTTCTGTTCATATATCAGAGTGTATCAGAATCCATTTCTTTCTTTTTCTCAGCAAGCAGTTGTTCCAAATTATCGTTGTTGCACTTTCGAAATCTCCAGGATATTGATCGTCGATCAGACTGAAATCACCGCTTTTAAATCAAAATGCATATACATAGTACGATACAACAGTTTCGTCGAGAAAGAAATAAATCGATTTGTATGTTTTGTGGCATGTTTTCTTTGGTGAAAATCGTACAGTAAAAAGAGTACAGTATCGAATATACTTGGAAAGAGAATGAGGTGTCGGTTCTCTCAGCACATCCACTCCGGCTCAACTGGTAGACACCCCCGGGGGAAGTGTCAGTAAGAGTCCGACGTAACCCCGCCCAGCCCCCAAGGAGGCGGAATATCCATGAGGATTTCTCCCTCGTTAACAAAAAAGTGTTGAATATACTTTATCTGTTGCCGTTTTTGACTTTATTGAACTGAATATATTTTTTTTCTATTGAGTCTTCCATCATACTAAATATCATTTTTAATAGCTATATGTCAACACTACATAACCGCAAAAGAGTGAGAAAATTAATTATTTCTTTAACTGCTTTAAAAAATTTGGATTATTCATTTGTACATCTGATATATTAACATTTTTATTTTTATTTATTGTACGTCTATATCGGTACAATTGATACGCTAATTTTAGATGACGGGTGCGCATATAAATGTGAACAAGATAAAGGAGATAATGCGTACCATAATTGGTGAGGAAGAACATAACTTAAAGATACTTGACCCACATTTCCAAATACTGGACACTTGTAGCAATTGGGGTAAATATTAATCAAAATAGAAATATAGAATATCGCAAAAAAAATATTAAAATTATTCATTAATGCATTCTGTTGTTGGGCATAATAAACTTATGCTTGGTTAAATTGGACATAAGTAGTCATAATTATATATTATACATTCTTACTTTTGCATTTCAGTTAAAAGTATAATTAACAAGTGCGAAGTAAGTCTCAAATTTATGACATGCGGAGCACATAAATCGCAAAGATATTAAATTACATCAATTTCTAAAATATGGACGACTATCAAACTATCATCGTGAGTACTCTTGTAATTATAATGTTCTAGTATATACTATGGCTTTCAATCCCTCTCAAAATTTGTTATAATTGACAATATATCAAATATAAAGTAAAAGTATATATATCTAAAATAAATATAAATTTGTATTAGCTAATTTATTAAGAAAAATAAGTACAATCGTCTCAAATTGGGACCCTGTCACTAACTGAAACATCACCTCTCTCTTATATAGTTTTTAAAATCAATTTATAATAAAATATAGATATTATTGCAAAAGAATACATTTCTCGAGTCTAAAATTGTTTTGAAACAATTCCAAAAATATATTATGACGACAAATGTATTATATCGACGACAAAAATTATCGTTCGATAGCAATCAAAATTGAAATTGTTTATCCAATATTTTGGAGAACACTTTATTGTGGAAACGGAAAAATTAAAATGGCAATTATTAATAAGAAATCGCAAGCTAATGCATTCTAATGATGTTAATTATATTCTTACGAGTGTCGATTATATTCTTACGATATAATTATATTCTTACGAGTGTCGATAATTAATGGCAAATCGCGAAATAATATATTCCAATGACATCAATTCTACCTTCGTCCAATTTTGCGCGAATATAAACACTAAAATATATAAAAATATGTCCATTTTCATCGAAAGAAGAATATTGAAATTCTCTTCAAGTTGCGTTTGCATATGTTCATATGCATATAATAATCTTTGATACGTCTCTAACCATGTTTTACATTTTAACGCGGAATATAAATCCTTTATATTGTAATACTGATAACAATTTAATTAAAAGCTTGCGAACAATTAGTTGGTAACCTAAATCTATCACGGAAAAGGAAGTGATTCCTAAATTAAAATATGAAAGGAACGTTCCTGCTCCTCTTCACGCCCATCATTGCGGTAAGTATTTACGTAAGCAAAACGCACACGCAATTAAAGCCCTTCTATATTTATCGTAATGTCAAGTCTCTGTAGGCGCAGAGATCGTCGCAACCATGATCATGAAACTCGAATCGAATTCAACCGTTACAAATATCATGTCAATCACAAGCATCAATGTATAAAGATCGATTGATATAGAATAACTGTCATACAAAAATAAAGTTACAGGAGGAAGAGACGCAGGGACAACAATATGAGGCGACTAATGTTATTATTAAGAATCACGAACAGTAGTAGTATTGATCGCGACAGGATGCGGGCGAGCTACATAATATTATTTAAAAATAAAATTTTATCCAAAATGTTATTTAAAAATAAAATCAAACATGCATGTGCAATCTTGAAATCGCAGCTATCGTATCAGTACACGTGAGTCTCTGAGACTCATAACGTGTGTTTCATATAATAAGTTCGTCTGTATTATAAGAGATATACTTTTATAGAACTTTCTTGCATCTTAAATCTGTGTTTGATAAAAAGATGATAATAAAAATAATCATTCAAAGACATATTAATCCTTCGACTTAACATGATGTTCAAAGACATATTAATCCTTCGACTTAACATGATGAACCCAAACTAGAACTTGGACTTGAAAATAGTAACACATGTATGCACATATGTAAAGAAGTATGTGTAACTCAGTAATTGTTTACAATATTGTTTTACCAATATTTGATTTATAAAACCACGTATTTGTTAAAAAGACTCTTTCAGGCAATTTTACAGATAAAATTAGACGCTAGTGCATTCAAATTCTCTTAATTTCATTTTTGTCTGACGATGTATTCACGCGAGTAGAAACACTATTTGCCGGGGCTCGTCAAATGACGAATGACAGAATTCTCTTTTCATCTAGTCTGCATTGATGCTGACATTGTACGTGATAACCTTCGATATGCCTATGACCAAATATGTTTTATTATAGCGCGGTATATAAGTACGGCAAGTCGCGATATTGGCGTCAGTTTATCAGTTTGGTGCTAACTATTAATTGCTAATCGGTTAATCGTGTAGAAGGAAGTGATCTGTGAATTAAGACATGAAGCGTCCACTTGTGCTTTTTTTCACGCTTGTCGTTCTTGTAAGTGTATATGTAATATGTAAGTGTAAACAAAATGGAAACAAAATTAAGGTTCTTCTATATCTATAGCAACAATAGATTCGAGCAGAAAAAACGTTCGTTGCGATGATGATAGCCTAAGTTGGCCCCATTCAATTTCAACTATTGCAAATATATGTCAATTGAAAACGTTAATTGAATAATTTTTACACAAAATTGAGTTTGCGCCAAAAGCCTACGACGACAACATAACGCGACAATTGCCATTATAGATAACTATGTATAGTAGCAACAATCATGATAGAATGTGATCAAACGGTTTCGGACCAGAGGCACAATTGCAGTGTCTCATGTTGTTATTTATAAATAAAACGAGCAGACACATCAAAGATGTGGAATAGTTTATGTTACATATTATACTTTCCCGACAAAAAATAATCGTGTGTAATTATACACGGATTTTGCTTCCATATTGCTATGTATAAATATGTAATTATATCTAATTATACGTAATTATATGTATTCATATTGAAAAACAATGCTATTGTACAAATACAATTATTTACACAAGCTCGTGATGTAATAGTATGTATCGTGATGTAAAATGTATAATTAAAGGAAACAATTTCTCCTCTCCTTAGATTAACATTTTTCTCAATATGTTTGCACATATAATTTGACTTGATCATATACACGGCAACATAGAGACAAAATACATATATGAATCATATAATAATATATAATATTATATAATTTATATATCGTTATATATAATTTTATATAATTATATATAATCTTGTTTGATTGAATTATCGTTATTTGGCGACATACATTGAAAATGTCATTTCATTGCACACGTATTAGTTCGCCTAAATATAATTATACTTTTTCATTAACGTAATATTAGAGCATCTCCTAACTGTGATGAAGTATTATTAGCCATTTCCTGCTTTCCTGTACTCCAATGCTACAGTTAGCTAATTCTATCGATACTATATCAATACAAATTTCCAATATTTTCAAATTTCTTGTACATCGTGTCCTCCACTATTCTATGTAGATATTGATTCTACTTGTTTATTGCAGACAATAATCTCGGCCGAAGATTATGTGGAAAAATTGGCGCACTCGTTATCGATGACTAGAGAGGATGTACAACAATGCATCGGAAAGACAGACGCAACACCAGGTAAACTCTAACTCATTTGAAATTTTTACTAAGTCGACTTAATTAAATAATGCTACTTTTACTGCTAATACTGATTCGATACTTTCTAGAGGACATAATGCATTTTGACCAAATTGTGCTCGACAATTTGCAAACTGTAGATTTCGACGAACAGGCATTAAGAATTGGCTGTTTCCTCACCTGCTTAAGCCAAAAGAGTGAAATAGTAAGAATCATTCTCTCGTTAAATAAGTTTTCAAAGCCTCCCTTCACATGCACATAAAATTATTTATTCATATTGGACAATTAGTTTTCGCTCGACGAAGTAGATAACAGGATTGCATTTACGTTTTGTAGAATTGAAATTCCGTTTTGAAAATAGTTTTGATTATAGTTTAAGTTATATTAACATAATTTAATATTAATTAATATGCCATATGTAATTTACGTTTCGTATAGATATTTACATTTTGATTCATTGTATGTCTACATCATTCATATATATATATGTCCAAATATATGTCCATATATATTAATTGCAGATGTATGGTGCGTCTATGAATGTGGAAAAGTTAAAACTGTTCGTGCGCTCCAAAGCTAAAGAACCTAATCCTGACATGATTGCGATTGTCTATCAAACATTGGATATGTGCAACGATCGGGGTAATGTTGATTAACATATGCAAATTACACTGCAAAAAAGCAGCTCGAATAGTCATCGACTCGTATATATTTTGTACATATATTCACGACCATAAACTATGTGCATAAATTAAATATGTCTGTGTCTATAAATATACAATATAGTATACACATTCTCCGTATGTACAATACATTCTCGTTTTTGCATTTCAGTTAAAAGCAAGACTAACGAATGCGAAGTAAGTTTCAAATTTCTACTTTGCTTCATAAAGGAAATGCGACGCTTGGACGAGAATAAAACACAACGTCCCTACGAGAACACCATTGATAATGAGTGAAATAATAGTGTAAGACGTATATTATTATATGTCCAGAACTTGTATGTAGAACACAATACATGTAATAAGATATTTGTTGGGCAAATCAATGGTTGTTGAAAATATTATTAATTTCGCATTAATAAAGTTTTATTTACATACTATTCACATTTTATTCCCTGCATTTATTTATTTGAAATGGAATAAGGACATTCGTAGAAATTTAATTTCTCCAATTATTGAAAAATTTATCTCTTTCCAGCGAAAAGATCTGCGATAACTGCCTTCTACAAAATTAATTAATTAATTCCGTCAGACAATTATATGAATTTTATAATTAATATTATAATTAATTTATTCTTACAAAACATTCATGCAAGTAAAACATTCATAAAACAGACATTGATGAAAGAGATGCACAAATAGGAATGAACAAGAAAGAGAAAAATACTAAACTTTCGTAACTAACTTGTTTGACACGGTCCAAGGCTCATTTCGTTCAAATGAAAACACACGAGTCTATCGATAATTAATAAGAAACCGAATACTAATGAATTTTGTTTACATTAATCCCGTTCTTGTCTAACAGTGACTTTGCGGAGTCATAATAGCGCGGTTGTAAATTTTACTGAACTTGGTTGTACGAAATAGTTATTAGTTACTAATAGTTATTACTAGTTATGAATAATTATTAGTTATCTGAAATAGAATTTTAAAATATTTATAAAAATGCCATTTCTCCAATTATCAAATATTTATCTCTTTTCCAGCGTACAGGTTCCTGACAGAAGATATTTTTATTAATATTTATATTTTTAAAGTATTCATAAAAAAGATACAATTACGCACACATATGGTATATACGTACAGACACATAACATAAGCAAGAAGCAATAAAATATTAACTATTCCTTGCGAATAATTTATTTAGTATATTCCGGAGAACAGTTCATTCAATAGTTCAACAGTTTATTCGAAAATACAAAAGCACAAGAGTACCGATGTTTAATAGGAAATCGAATCTTAACATGTTCTAATTGCATTAATTCCATTGTTATTTAACGTATGAGTTTTGAACACATTCATTGAGGTTCGTCGAACAGCGACTGATGTGATTCTTTTCTCGTTGTATCGACTTTTATATCGATATCACGCAGGATAACCTCCGATACACTTGCAACTTGACCTTATGTTTTATCATTGTGCAGTGTATATAAGTACCGCATATCGCGATATCGAAAGCAGTAGCCGGTCGAATGCGAAATATTAATTTTTGATTGGAAACCATTATAGTGGAAAAGAAAGTGACACGTGAACCGAAACATGAAAGGAACGATTTTGCTTCTCTTCACTATTATCGCTGTTGTAAGTGTCTACGTAAATACATAAATATAAGTGAGGCATAAACGAAATTCAGATCCGTTTGCATCTGTCCAAAGCAGAAATAATACTTATCGCGACACTGTTAACAAGTGCTGGTTGAACTGCAAGTTTTATAAAGACGATGTCAATTAGATGAGTCAATGATACAATGCAGATATCACTGACGCTTCCAATTGGCGTGATAACAATTAAAGTTAAACCAACTTTTACGTTCATTGCCGCAATAAGCGTTGCATTTGCTTGCGACTGACATTGCGATATATTTAGAAAAACGTGTAACTGTCGTTAATGACTAAACGAAAACGAATGTAATTAATCGCAAAACAAGAGATATGATTTCAAGAAGTATTTATTTCAATCAAGCGTGAACTCTCGACTCTTTAAATATTACATCTTTATAAAAACTTGGTACGGAAAGCTACTTCTCCGTCGAAATTTCTTGTCGAATCATACCATTAACTATGTTATGACCTTGAACTTAATTTTATTCACCTGTTGCAGACAATGAGCGAAGATTACGTGGGTCGTTTGATGAATATTGCCAAATTAAAGAGAGAAAAGGTACTGGAATGCATGAACAAGACACATGTAACAATTGGTAAGATTTCATTTGCACGTGTTATCAATTCGAACAGTTGTCAATCTAATATACTCGATATTCTTTAGAGGATTTTGAGCACTTTGACAGAGTTCTGATAGACAAGCTAGTAGTCGATTTCGATAATGTGGTTTTAAAAGTTGGCTGCCTCTTCAGCTGCATATTCCAAGAGAAGGAAGTAGTAAGTATCAAATGCAAGAATAATTTGAAAACTACTAAGCAATACATATTTCATAACGGACAACTAATGTTTAATCGATGTGGGGAAAAAGAGACTTTGATTTCTTGTTTTATAAAATTTAAGTTCAATTTTGAGGCTGTTGAGTGAATTTTAATTTAAGATGTAGATATTAACATTGTTAAATATTAATAATATCACGTGACACATAATTTATATTTTATACATTTGAATATTAATATTCTTATTTATTTTACGTCTACATCGTCACAATTAATGCGCTAATTTTAGATGACGGGTGCACATATAGATATAGACAAGATAAAAGATATGCTGCGCTCCAAATTTAGAAGAGATGACACGAAGCAACTTGATGTACGCTTGCAATTGCTGGACACTTGTAGCAATGAGGGTAAATATTAATTAAAATACAGAGACAGAAGAATCGCACAAAATTTCAAATTATTCATTGACTCATACATTCTATTGTTGGACAAAATAATCTCATGTCCGGTTAAATTAGACGCGACTGGTCATAATTATACTATACATTCTAATTTATTCATTTCAGTTAAAAGTAATATCAACGAGTGCGAAGTAAGTCTTAAATTTATAATCTGTGGACTAAGGGAAACGGAAAAGATATTAAATAAAGATATGGATAATACTAATGATGAATAAAATATAAGCAATGATATTATTAAACGTTTGGAGCTCCTTCAAAAAAAAGATACTAAAAAGATACTAATAAAGTCGGTAGGAATATTGTTCTTGAGTGGAAATGGAATTAATAAATGCATAAGTAAAGATTATCAACTGGATATACTGTAACTTACTTAACTCAGGAACACGCGCACTATTCCTTACACTCTCTCAACATTTACAGGGTATCCGATAATTAACTGCCAACCCGAAGTGCGAAGGTAAATTAGGTTAAGTTGAAAAGAAAAGTAAAATACAATTTTGCAAAAATCGCCATAATTATCGAATTATTAATGATAAAAATCTGGGGAGTGGGAGCACGCCAACATAGATGATTGAAGAAGCATTGCAGCTGCTCGGGTCGAAAAGCGGCCCAGTTGATTTTGAAACTGTCACCAGTGCGCGGCGAGAGGAAGGATGCGCCGCTATTCGTTGTTTTATCTCGCACACTATGATCACACTATGGCCCGAGATGCTGCGACATTCCTCCAATCTCGATGTGCGCTCACTCGTCAGATTTCTGTCATTAATAACTCGATAATTATTCTGATTCTTGCACAATTGTACTTTACTTTTCTTTTTAGCTTAACCCAATTTACCTTCGTACTTCGGGTTGGCAGTTAATTACGAACACCCTGTATATATTTTCCTTAGTGAAGTTATTAATTTTCCGTACATTTTTTACGATATGCAGAAAAAAAGTTTGGTCAAATAAATATAGGTGCTCTTGGTTTTCACGACATTCTCTTTTGATGTTTTTATCATAGAGCATTTCACGATTTCGATATAAACCACTTTTGCTGCATCATAAAATAAGCTCGTAATTGCAATCGCGAATATTTGCGACCACGCATGTGACGCAAGCAGATATGCAGCAGCATATTATATATATATATTTACATATATAATATGTAATATAATATATATTATATTACATATTATATATATTATATATATGTGTAAAGGTGAATTGCATATAAATACGAGAACGCAGTTTCAATACATCAGTTTAAACAACTGCTAATATTGCATTACATATTTCCTTATATATTCTCGTAGAAGAAGATTCCAGAATGAAGACTTTGGTTATTATTGTGGGTATATTAACCATTACGGTGAGTAAAAAATAACAACTAAATCTTTTTTCAAATTCACAAAGTACTTACTTCGTAATATTTTGGTGTTATTCATAATAATATTACTACAATATTTATTTTTTTAATAAATATTTGACTCACATTTTATTATATATATTTTATACTCCGTTTGCTATTTAATTTACACTTCATACAATAGTACCCACAGGATATGGCGTTAAGCGTTAATGTTACATTATATTAATATTATATTATAATATTAATATTATATTATATTGTTAATATTATATTATATTGTTAATATTATTATTATATATTATATATATAAGGTATCCGGGATCTTTTGGAAAGGAAAGATTGTGAAGATTAATCAGATTAAACTGAGAGGAAAAGTCATGTATCATTTTGCAAAAATTGCAATAGTTATTAAGTTTTTAATTAAAACGTGTGGGCCAACGAGCGCACGGAAAACGATAAGCGAGACTCGACAGAAATATGATGACAATAGACAAGACAAATGACTTACTTTTGAATATTTGTATCAAAGATAATTAAATAATTGTATGAGGCGAGTTAACAAAATCCTTTCCTCGTCTTCAACGACAAGATGCACTAATGCACCAGCTATGCTCTATAGTTATGCATGCATAGTTAAACATCCAGATTTACATAACTTTTGAACTGCACATAAAATCACTTTTCCCCACAGATCTCTTGCACGCCCAAGAAATCGTTCCTTCTGAAATAGATGCGAGCTGCAGCACGCGCATTTTTGCCTGCTAGCCCGTAAGCAATAATGATATCGGTGTGTATTCCTCTGGAGTATATTTCATTTTTTGTTGCGGAGAAACACGACGTGTATCAAACAGTTTTTATGTGACTGAAGACGTCGTCCGTTGGATACATGCAAATCGCAAGATACGATGATCATTTTTTGTTTATAATCGTCGTCTACGACAATGATTTCCAAAAGATCCCAGATAGCCTGTATAAGTGAAAAACATTTCGGTATCAAATCAAAGAATTTATTTCTATACCGTTTAAAAACCATTTTAAAAGTATTATTTCTAAAATTACATCTCTACTATAAATATTGAAGAACTATAAGTTGTAAATGAAAACAGAAATACATTACTTTACATGCAAATTAAAATTATTTGAGTGATAACAAAATTGTAAGATCACTTCAATAACATTTAATGACACTTAAATAACAAAGATGCAACAGCTTTATTTAACAAATCGTATTATTCCGAGTTTTTTGTTAAAAATGTAATATAATAATTCAACATGAAAAATTATATATAATAAATTCACTCAAGTTATATATCAATATAAATCGATGGATATTGCGATTGTACATGATTATTTGGGCGAAATGCAAAAATTTTTTTATTTGGATATGATCCATCTTCACAGATGATTTACGATTACGACACCGACCAGACATAAGAATTCAAGAAGTTCTTAGTAGAATGCGCCGAAAATTTTGCAGAATGTTCACGATGTAAGTATCAACCTTTAAAACATTCGAAGAAATATAAGAAACAGAATAAGTTTTTTGTTATTATAGTAGTTTTATAATGGGACAATTGACGGGAAACTAGCGTAAGAATTACTGTGTCTCTTTTCTTGTCATCTATCGTTCCATGTATTTCACAATCTTTATATTCGTTTATAAGTTTAACAATTGCACGTTTCTGATAAGAAGCGAGGATGTCAAACTCAATTCACTTGTTACCTAATTAACTCATGTTAATATGTGTGTTATATCCTTACATATATTGTCCTAAAAAGAAAATTCAGAATTTCTCATTTACGTTATTATATTTTTATGTATTACGCGTGTTACAGCCAATATAACCTATTGCATAATGAAGAAAGGTCAGGTATGTATCTTTGTATCTAACATATGTAGAATAGCATAGGAGCCTTAACATACCATATAATATTGTGTTAATATTATTTGTATTGTTCTAGATTATTGATGAGAACAATGTGTATCAAAAAGAAGAAAACTATAAAGTAATTCGGGATGTTATGTCTGAACCTAACTTTTAAAAAAATCAGGAAATATTAGATGAATGCAACAACGAAGGTAACTTACTTTATTATCATTTTAAAAAACAATTTTCGCACTTATTAAATTTTCTTTTAATTGCAGAAATACGTAGAACAGGAACTGACCAAGTGAAAGTGAAGAATATTGTTGCTTGTTTACTGCCGATAATGATTATGTTCTCCGAACAGAATCATTGCAAATTTTTCTTTAAATATAATTAATATTTTATATTTTCTACTGCAATCTTATTTTTGCACAATCTTAACTGTAGATCGTTTAATCTATTCTTTTCTATTGAGGTGTATGTATATTTTCGTGTATTCTATTGAGGTAAATTCTCGTAACGATATAATAAAAGATAAGGTTGTTCTAAGAAATCTTCGACTAAACTAAATATTTATTGAAAAACGACTCTCTCAAAAACCTGTTTATCGACATTTCATGTCGATCTTTCATCAAAGTTAATTACTAAAACATTTATTATTTCAAATTCTGCACATATACAGTGGCGTGCTAAAGTTTTGAGTCATACAATTATTATTATATATTCATTTCATAATGAGCACTAAAAGCTTTACATATATATATAAACAAAATGTATTTATTTATCCTAGAATTGTATAAACTTTACAAACTTTTAATAATTTTAAATACTTTATTTTTATACAATGTCTTATTACAAACAGTGCAAAAGTATTGCGCGAAAAAGTTTTTTTATGCATAAGGAAAATATATTATTGAAAAATAATAACAGAAAATGTTATCAACGTTTTTTTAAATTTAATACTTTGTTGCCATGCATTTAGAAGCAATCACTGCAGCACAACGGCGAGGCATTGATGCTATTAAATTAGAAATGCGATCTTGAGGTAAATTTTGCCATTGAGTTTGCAAACCTTGCTACAATTCAGCTTTATTGGAGTGTTTCTTATTTCCTGTAAGTAGTTTGAGTTCTTGTCACAAATGCTCAATAGGATTCAAGTCCGGCGATTGCGAGGGCCAGTCAAGAACTTGCACTTTTTTCATGATGAAAAATTCTTTTATTAGCTTTGATGAATGTTTGGGATCGTTATCTTGTTGGAAAATCCAATCACGTGGCATGTTTCGAGTTGCATATGGCAACATATGCTGTGTCAATATATCTCGATACATTATAGCGTCCATAGTACCTGTGATCTCAACCAATGGACCAACTCCATTGTAAGAAAATGATCCCCAAACCATCACGTTACCTCCACCATATTTTGCGGTAGGAATTTGATATCTTGAGTTATATCTTGTATCTGTTGGACGTCGTATATACTTTCTACCGTCACTTCCGAATAACTGAAACTTTGACTCATCAGAGAAAAGTACTTTTCGCCAATCAACTTCAGTCCAATGTTCAAATTTCCTTGCAAAATCTAATCGAGCTTTCTTATTTTTTGCATTAATTAATGGTTTTTTTACACCAGCGCGTCCTAAAAATCCTACTTCCTTTAGACGTCGAAATATTGTACCTCGACTAACATCAGCAAGATTTTTTTCTCATAGTTCTCGAGAAATATCCATGGTAGTTTTTCTAACATCTGCTATCGACTTTCTTTTAATCATTTTATCGACACGCTTTGTAGTTTTGCAATTGTATTGGGTTGGCAACTAAGTGATTGCGGATTTTAAATAAGAATGAAAATTCAAAATTTTTAATTTGCTTTTTTAAATTTTTTTCAATGCATGTATGCGATACATTGAGCTTCTCTGCAATATCACGTGTTGTGCTATGACGATCTGAATCGATAATGGCCTTGATATGGGTCTTATCGACTTCAACTGGACGGCCAGATCGTTGAGCATTTTTCAATGAAAAATCACCAGAACGAAGTCTGGCAAACCAATTTTGACACTGCCTTTCTTTCAAGGCTTCATTCCCATATACGGCACATAACTTCTTGTATGCTTGCGATATGTTCTTGCCTTTTCGGAAATAATACAATAAAATATGTCTGAAGTGCACGTCTTGCTCTTCCATTTTTAAATTGGGATAAAAACAAAACTAAAGAACTAATCGATATAATTTTTGTACTAAATGAAAGGTAGAAGTCCAAACAATAAGAAAAAAATATAGGTTAGGTACTTTGAACACGTTAACGAAACAAAAGAAAGTGTAAAATCCATCTGTCGACAAAATCCGCAATCACTTAGTTGCCAACCCAATAGTTGGCAAGTTGTAGGTCTACCATTTCGTGGTTTACCAGCTAGAGAGTTCGTCAACTTATATTTAGCAATAATCCTATTTATGGTACTTTTATCAATTAATAAGTAATTAGCAATTTCGCGAGAAACCTTTCCTTGTTGAGAAAGATTAATCACGGCTTCGCGTAACTGAAAGCTTGTATGTTTCGGCATTGCGGTAGACAATAGACTAAACCTTAGTTAAAGCAAATATTTACGAAGAAGTTTCATAAGAAACGTAAACAAACCGGGCTCATAAAGTCACGACAAGAATACGGCTCAATACTTTTGAAAACATGTAAATATTATATGCCTAAATAAATAGAAACTATGTAATTTGAAAACTTTGTAACTGCACTATTATTTGTAAGAATGTTATGTCAATTATTTTATATAATTAATCTTTAGAGCAAATATATTGTCGTGTATTTTAACACATTACAACGTACTTTTACGTTTTTGCAGTCTGTCACTAGAGCGCGGGTCACATAAAAGTACGTATTTAGTAGATTTGTGCTGGAGAGCGAGTATCGTATAAATACGATAGGCATTGTAAGTGTGTATGGTATTTGTGTTGTTAGGCAACGATTTCCATTGTTTCTTTAAGTAAAAAAAAGTTTCGTTGAGAAAAACGTAATAGTAATCGATTTATTGCGATTTTATTGAATGACTCCCGTGAAATTCATGAAAAAACGCCCGCTACGCGTAAGTCCGCGGCGAAATATACCCGCATGCAATGTGTTAAAAAGACACTATGGCTCGAAACTTTTGCTCGCCACTGTACTTTCTCTTGCATACAAGTTTGAATATTTCTCTATATCATTACATCGGGAACAAATAACCGACAAATTCAATTGTCATATCGTTAAATTATGTTTTTTACGCACTTTATTATTTACTCTTTAAATTTACTACAAATATTTGAATATTCTAATCGGTATTAATATTCATATTATTATTCCATTAACATCTCACAGAAATAACTCTGAGTTTCATTTTTTATAAAGAATAGAATTCTGAAATTACTATATTTATATTTTAAATTACATAAATATATATAATATAATAGTTTCTCAAATATATCACTTTAAATTATAATATTTTTATGTGAACCGACGGCTGATCTGATTTCCGTATTGATATATCCATCGTAGGTTTTTTAAACGTTTTATGAATATTCCAGTTAATTTCTTCATGGAGAGGAAAGACCCGAAACTGTCTCGATTCTTCGCAAAAATTTCTTATATAGATTTCTTATATACGCTTTGAGTACAATTAGTATAGGAGCTTATTTTTGTAAGAAAAGAGAGAAAGAAATGAGAGAAACAGAGAGGGCAATTTTCTGCATTTTCCTGAAACCGAAAATATGGTTTATCTAGTTGTATTGATTTTTAACTTATTTTCTCTACTGAAATTATTGTAATGTTTCTATATTATTAAGGATTTTAAAATATTTTCGAAAGGAATAGATATTAATTTTAAGTAAAACTAATCTTTAATTAAATAGGTTTTTGCGTCTTGTTTCTACGTAATGTTATAATAACGCAGATTGCATAAAATGTTTTATCCTAACTACATTAATTTGCTTAAAAATTTCATTTTCTATGATATATCAAATGGAAACGATTCATGAAGGTTTTGTAAATAACACTTTACTCACATATACTAAAAGTAATAATAGAATGCAATATTATAATAAAGTAAAATATTATAATAAAATAAAATAATAGTATAAAAGAAGCTATTAAAAATATAATATGATGATATTTATTTAAATTTCACTTGACAATATCCCCTTCATATTAAATTATATTTCCTAAAAAAGTATAGATTGATAAAAATAAAAATCAGTTAGGTAATTATCCTAATAAACAAGCAACTTTTTTGTGAAAATAAATTAATAGGTAAATAACATACTCCTTTTATAAAATAAGTGCAAAAAACTGATTTCGTTGGAAGTTTTGAATATTTGAGGTCATGATCGTGTTATATATTTTTCTAATTTTTAAAAAAATTTGAATTTATTTTTTTGATAAATGACTGAGAAATGCGATCTAATAATAATAATTTAGTTTCATTTTTTTTCATTGACAGTCTAGTTTTGAAGAAATTGACAAATGAGGATGTAATAATTAAATATAATAACTAACAAGAAAAGTTAGGGAACGCGGAAATTCAAAAAATTCTGAAATTTTGTATGGAAGTAAAGTAGTTCATCCGTAGTGCAAAACTATTTACAGAAATAATTTAAACAATTTACAGACGCCATTAGAGATTTTCCAATACATTTAGATATTGTTTTGTCTTCACGACTATGCGCAAAGCGAACTTATTGTTCTTCTCGTGTCTGTCTGTCAAGTTCTCAACTGAAATACGCATGTAAACATAAATTATTATTTTAATTGGCATATTAATGTTGTTACGTCGTATTGATAATTTGGTTAGATGCCAAACTGGGATATTATTATTTCTTTTTAACCACTATACGTGACCAACTGTTGGAACAATGCGACAATCTGCGTAAGTATTAATAGATATACACGAAGTATCAGAAAAAGTTTCATGACATCCTCTTTAAATCTAATCTACACATCAATCATACACATTCAATCTAATAATTGATTGTGTTTAAATGATAATCAGTTTATTAACATCCGTAATTTATGTTTCAAAAGTAAAAACAAATTTAATAATTCTCGATATTATACCTATCGGTTTTACATGTTGTCTAAAAAATTAAGTTACAATTGTATTATGTAACGTGAGATATTAGTTGGGATATCGCGAGTTATTAAAATCGGTTTTAAAATCTGATCATATAAACGTACTATTTGAAATTCTTGAAATGGAATTTCACTCACAATAAATAAATAAAAACTCGCTAGATGTCAAAAGTTTAAAGTACTATTTAAACATAATTATAATTGAAATAACCAAATTATCAATACGACGTAACAACATTAATATGTCAATTAAAATAATCATTTATGTTTACACGCGTATTTCAGTTGAGAACCTGACAGACAGACACGAGAACAACAAGTTCGCACTGTGCATAGTCGTGAAGGCAAAACA